CTGTCAGGAAGTCCCCCTTGACCCCCACCTCCTCCAACACAACACACCCCGTCGCCCCCTCTCCGGCTGCATAGTTGGCAACGATAGGGAGCCTGCACAACTAAGTGTCAGTTGGTGTTACTGTGTTTTCTCTACGTCTCACAGGATAGTACCTTTTCAAAGAATATCCTGCATGATATACTCCGGACTGGAGTGATGGTGGGGACACGGAGCCGCGTGGCATGGCTGTAAAGGGGCACTGGAGCGGAGCACAGGGTGAGGGCGAACAGGGGAGGGAGGGGCCGGGGGAGAAACACTTTGATTTGCACTGATCTTGAACCTTGTGTGCCTGTTTAACTGCACAGTTGGGTATGAGTCTGACTGTGAGGAAAATGATGGGGAAAGTATTTTTGTGCGCTGGTTTCATCACATTCCTCGCCACTTCTCTCACCTTTCTCGGCTCCCCCAGTGGTTCATACAACAGAGTCTGCTCTTGATCCATCAAAGCCTCACTTACAGGGGAGAGGACCAAATATGTCCACTGACAGATATAAATGACTATTTCGCAATTCAAACATCAGACTTCACTTTTGCCCAGCATAAATTCCAAAATAAGCAACTAAAAAAGCAACCTGTGAATACTAAATAAAAACAAACGGTAACTGTAGCTTTGGTTCAACCTGCTGTTTTTGTTCCTATTTTCAGGCCACTACACTTCCAAACGGTTCCCTCGTTTCTCAGATGATGTTATTGATTGTGTGGAGCATGATGGCCGTGCACTCCCGACCTGCTCCTTGACTGCAGGGGTCTAAACTTCTATGCCTCCACCACTCTTACTTCTAACCTGGAGGTCAGAGGGTCAGGGGTCAGGAGGAACCAAGTGTTTGGGGAAGTCAATGTCCTTCTCCCCGCTGACTGGGAGAGAGAGACGCCCATCTGCTAAACAGGTTAACTTTAGTGAGACTGGGAACATATCATAATGTGTGGTCATTGGATTAGCGGGTTAGCATTGATGTTATTGAATTACTATTAAAGGATTATCTGCATCAGTGGTCGCAACAAAATGCTATTTGCTTAGAACAGAGATATGTTTGCTAGCTACTGAAGTTCAATAAACCACTTAGTCCAACATAATAAATCTTAACACACAAACGTACAATGTGTCATTCCTGACTTAGTTGAAGGGTTTGTTGAACCCATGAACTGACTGGGTTTATTTCGTTGGGTTTCAAGAAATCAATTTCTCTGTTTTCTACTGCCAGCTGGGCAGAGGTATTACGTTAAAACAAGGCTAAGAATCTACAGCCATGCCAGTAGCTTAGTGAGGCTTAAGCACAGTTGACAGTTGATGCAAATGCTATCATTTGCATGACAACATATGTACTAATATGTACATAATGTATTACAAATTCAGTGGCAGCTTCATTCTTCCATAATTGGGTTCCTGTAACTATAATACTTTCTTAAAGCATGCTCTTTTGATAACAAAACGTTTACAGTAAGGTATGTGAATAAGCCACCAAGTTGTTTGTTAAATGTCAAAATTCCACTGATCAACATTGTATTGGGGTGGAGGCAGGAATTTCCGATACTGCTCAATCTATAAATAGTCTCTGAAAAATGCATTGCATTTTGTGTGTTAAGTTGTCAGGAGCCTTACTGTATGTGTTATTAAAACTCAGTGGATGTGATTGTAGTGTGAGGAAGAGCAGTATTTCCCATCTGGTCTTGACCATCATGAAACCAGAGCCCCTCCCCACCACCCCTATCTCTCTCTCTCTCTCTTCCCCTTCCTCCCACTCCATGTACAGGATGCATTTCTGATAAATGGCAGAAGGATGGATGGGCTGACAGAGGGGCCGGACAATAATGGCTGATCTACAGGACACAAATGCAGCTACTGAGGAGATTTATGGGCCTCTGCTCATTGCAGACTGTCCGGTAACCGATGAGATGATTTCTCAAAGCTCTGGACGGACGACAGCGAGCGTAAGAAAAAGCTCTTTCTCCTGTTGCAGCCCATTATTTATTTATCAGATGTTTTGGGTGGAAGCCACTTTAAGAAGTGCACCCAGGAAACAACACGCTGGCCGTAAACAGGACAATGAAGGGAGAAAACGAGTGTAAGAGGGAGAGTGAAACTGTCAAGGTGAATCGGATGCATGGGAAGACGGAGAGGTTCTTCACATGCAGGACCCTCAATGAATATGGTTCACGATAGAGAAAGTAAATGACATTCATGTAATATGCAAGAGCCACTTTAAGAGCAATCACTACGAAACCTAGAAAACATTTCTCTATTTCATTAAATCCTCACATTAGCACCAAAAGATATTGGGGGTTGACAATGGGGAAATGGAACACTGTTCAACTCGTCTTAAGGGACATTTAACAAAAATGCCAATCTACCCCTATATGCTTTGTGCCTCGAGTAATTTCTTTAAATCTAATTCCCGTTGTGTTCAACCATATATACAATATGTTGTATGTATGTTAGCCATTCCACATTTGCAGAATTATGTTAAGCATTTCAATTTACAATTACTCAACTGAGAGAAATAGTGCCAACAATAACGATAATGCCCTAACACATCACTGGTTCCAGCTTCTTAAATGTGACGATTTGATGGTGTTGCCATGTCTTTCTAAATTAATATTTGTGTTGATTGAACATTAAAACTACTCAAATGCCAGCCTGTGCTATAGGAAATAAAAATGGCAATTTTCTCTATTTACTGACATGTTATAGACAATAAAAAAAATCTATCCAACTATCTGGTAATTAGTTGAACATGTTGGTTATTAAAAGTTAATTTGGGTGCTCAAACATATACATCTTGATTTGACAACAATGCGAGGGGCCGATATAATACAAATAAAATCCTAATTTGGGATCAATACCAAGCATCTATCTATCTATACAGAAGTGGCAGCCCTTTGTACTGATTTTGCGGAGCACTCGGTTGCGGCTACCGTATTTGATCATTAATCCTCATTTTGTATATTCAGCAGTCCTGGAGGATCAATAGTACAGGGGAGAACAAGGCATCGTGCCACCCCAACAGTTAATGTCTGATCAAAATGGTCCTTTAATTGGGACCACCGTTGTAGTTGTTTAGAAACAGGGCACTATCAAACAGCGGTTTACAATCTCCTCCTCAATGCCAAGCTGATGGTGGCCGCCAATGCTACTTTCATAGGATCCCTGATTAAAAACTGCTCTGCGATCCCCAGCCTCCTGACCCTTCACCCGGGCTCCACTCCATCTCAAAGCTCGGGAAATTAATTAAAATTTCACAGAGATTGTATCGCATCTCCAATGAAGGTGTGGGGTTGAAGGGGGGGGGCGGGGAGAAAAATCAATCAAAACCCTCTCCATCTACACCCTCCACTGGTTGGCTTGAAGGCAGGAAGGAGTGAAAAGATGGCCACAGAGCCACTTCCTGTGAGAGGATTGAGCACTTCCTGTGCCAGAGGGCCCGACAAACTTCGGTAAATAATGTCATCAATCATGGCACCGGCTCACTCTCACCGCACCACAAGGAGAACAAACACAAATAATTATTCGCAGTCATTTAGCCCAGAGGAGAGTCTGTGCCTGTTTTCTTCTTTTCCCCGGTGGAAAGCCGCATATCGCCTCTACCTTCCTCCCCCCCCCCCCCCCCCTCACACAACAATAAAATTACATTTGCATTAGCTGTGAGAGAATTTGGTTGGATGATTTATTGAAGCAATCAACACTGCGCTGGCCAATCCTTGTTCCTCTCACAGACAGAGTGTGTGTGTGTGTGTGTGTGTGTTGTGAAGATTGGGCGGTGTAGTTTGGAGCTGAGAGAAAAGGAAGAAATAGCTTGGGCTAGGGACCAAAGGGGGAAGCGAGGCATGAGCTGTGCAGCGGAGCAATCACAAAGATTCTGCCTTTGATTAGATTAGCATTAAACAACACCCTGACAGATATGACAAATAGGTGCATTAGAGCCTGTCATTCTTCTCTCTTTGGTTTTCTATCTAGCTTTCACTCCTGCTATTCCTTCCTCTCTGGACATTATAGGGTTCGCTTTCCCTCCATGTGTCCCACTAGCACACATCTATGCGCGGCCCTTGACATCCAAACAGATGTGTAATCTGACTGTATTACCTTTTTAGAGAAGACGCCAAGTGAATAATGGGAACCAAACAGAGTAGGGGTTACGAGGGGGAAAAGGTGGAGAAAAAAAGCCAGATGACAGGTGCTATTTCTTTAGAAAAATAAAGCTGATAAAAAAAAGCAGAGCGCAGTGAGAGAGGCGTCATTAATCAGATGTGTTTTTGTATTATTGGATATCCTTGTTTTTCATGAGGTGCATTAAGTGGTGAAGATGCAAACAAACAGGGCACAAGGGGAGTTATTATCTGTTGTCCTTGTCATTGAATGTTTGTATATAAAAGGTGTACTAAAATCCACTACTATACAATGAATAAATGGACTTCATAAGATGAATTAATAAGATTCATTTAAACCGTATAATACACTGTTTGCTATGTTTAGAAAATAAACAGGCTTCAGTAGCTTTGTGTCTCCGGTTGCTAATCAGCCATCCTGAAGTGATCTATTGACATCCCCGATCATTGATCTGCCCACGCCGGCTTATGATACCCGAATTAGTATTCATGAATCCGGCAGCAGCTAAATAAACTTGGCAACAAAACACCCACGATACAACAGAGAAGAGAGGGATAATCAATGCAAAGCACCATCAAATCTACATTATCCCTCCTCATCAGTTTGGCCAGGCCACAAGGGCCGGTGCTCGGGTCAGAGGTGATGTGGACGGGTCGGCCACCCTTGACCCTCAAGCCAATACTTGCAGCCAGGGATGAGTTTACTCCGGGGTTAACGTGGGAAGGTGGACAAGGTAGTGTGGAGGGAAAGATAAGGCGTAGGATGGCTCACTGTCTCCACTCTGCGCTGTGGATTTACTGCACTCAAGGTGAGCCTGATAAATCAAATGGGTAAGAGGAGATATAGATGCCAGACTTGCCTGTGAACACAAGAGCATGACGAGCTCCACCACCGAGCTGCTGGACTTCATACACATCAGGCCTGGAGAAAAAATTAAGAAAATAAGTCAGAAATGTATAGAAATATCACAATAAAATGTTTTTATTTCATGAACATCCTATGCACTTGTGGACACGCATTCATGTATGACGCACCCTCAACCAGACACACATTACCTAACCTTGTGCCATCTGCAAGAGAGCAGAAAGTATTGATGTGCCTAATGAGCCGACATGATGTTACTGTAAACTAATACATATTTGGGCCTTGTATTACAGGCCTTACTTGGCCAGCATATGTCCCATTGATCCCTAATGGCGAGCCCTAAGCTTTTAGAGGGCAGGGGGCCACTAGAGTGTCCAGAGTCACATGCACAGACGGGAAGAAGGCAGAGTAGCCTTTGGTCTTTCAGTTGCTCTTCATGTGACACAGACACAAACATACACACACACACACGTATATACACACCTCCCCCTGCGTTCCCTTTAGGCCCCCCTGCAGCTATCAATCAACTTTCCATTTTGTTTGGTGGCAGCAGACATCCCAAACACTGCTATTAGCGGCCTGGCCTATGACCCTGCCCCCTAGAAACCTTAGGAACAAAACCAGCTATTGGCTCAACGCACACTCATCGCACTATTAGATTAACAAATGCATAGATATGTTGTTTCATATAAATGAGGACAACCACACCATGGGATTCTTTTGTTTTTTGAACTCTAATGAGTCTCTTTGACGTTGTACTTACTTGTGCCCTCAATGAGGAGCTCTTGCCCGTGGCTACCCAGCAGAGTTCGAGAGAGGAAGGGAGCAAAGTCCACGAAGATCTCTCTCAGCAGAGGAGCTGCCTTCTCCAGGGCATTCTCCAGACGCTCTGAGATACTGGAGATGCAATTCAAACACGCAAACAGTACATGAGTCAAATTAAACAGGCCTGCAACTCCATAATTAATCTTGAAAATGCCAAATTTAAATATATAAAAGCGGTTAAATCTTGTTTTATTTATGTGAAAAATAAAACCATATGAATTAGGCCAAAGCAACATTCAGTGGATATTAATAACGGATGCTTATGTGAATAAAACGCTGATAGTGCATGTGCTTGAGTGTGTGCATGTGTGTGTGTGTGGGAGAGAGAGAAAAGAAGATGAATCACCTCATATTGGGGGCTGTGTTCTGGGTCACAGGGGAGAGTGGGGGGACAGATGGCAGGCTAGCGCTGGCTGGAACCTGGCCGCCTGCTGCAGGGAGAAACCAAAGAACTCTGTTATTAGTCTGGATGTTGGACAAGAATAAGATGCTACACACACACAATCACATACACTCACACACACACACTCACACACACACACACACACTCACACACTCACACACTCACTCACACACTCACACACTCACACACTCACACACTCACACACACAGAGAGCGATACATTATACGACCCGGTTAGCACCATAAACCTGTGCGGAAACATGCATCTTATGAAATAATACAATGGCCTCCATTCAAATGTATAGAATAGGGGGATTTAAGGTCAAATAGGGCAAGTGGGGGTACAAGTAGAATGTTATGGTTAGATAGTCGATGATGTACTCCGAGCACAATAAGTCTTCCTTATCATTTTATAATTCAGAGGTTTTTATGATGGAAACCTCTATATGGTGCACTGAGAGGTGTTTCACTGGCAGCTGCAATCATGTTTTAAACAGTGTGATCATTTTGGATGGTGTTTATTAATGTGTCAGCCAAATATGGAGCACATGCACAATATTATATATTTATTATAAATAAGTAATATGTGTTGGAATGTGAGATATTAAACAAATGTCAATTTTTCCCAATTGTTTTTTACTCATTAAGTCATTACATACCAATTTAGCCCTCAGGGCTGTTTTTGTGACCGTTTCATTACACAACTAAAAAGCTGCTTTACGACTTCATTCTGGAGACAGAGGCTCACGAGGTACAAAGTCCATGTTTGATTGATCTGGCAGTAAATTCACTTCCCTGTGGCTCATAAATAAGCTAATGCCCAGCTGAATATGGAGGAGGGGGATTCCTCTGGTGTTCAGCGGGCTTGTTTTTCCAGCCAGGACAGTCTCCAAGCAGGGATAACTCTTAAGGAATGACAGACAGTGTAATGTGGGCTGGAATGTGTGTGTGTGTGTTTGTGTGTGTGTTTGTGTGTGTGTGTGTGTAAGGTGTTAAGCAGCGCCATGTGGGCTTGGCGAGAGTATCCCTCTCGAGCTGAAGTAGCTCCTTCAAACAAAGAGGAGTAAATGAACGTCTCCATTAGTCCTCCCACTGCATCACTAAAACACACTCACAAAGCGTATTTACTCAGCACTGCTCACTGACACAAAGCACCCTGTGCATTCAGCTTTAACAATTATCATTATTCACAGGCACACAAAACACATGCAGACACACACACTCCCCAGCCTGATTTTACAGTGAATGCTCACTCTCCTAAAACATTCTCATGTCACCCCCCCTTCTCTTAAACACACACAGACTCCTCAGTGAAAAAACATTTCACTTTTATACACACTCTTACAAGGTGACCAAAAAAAACAGCTGGCCAAACGATCATTATTTAGTGTCGCTGCTGATTCAGTCTATACAGGAGATTAAGTGTGCTCATAAAGTAATAGAAAAAAAAGGTATGATTTTAATATATCATATTCATACACCCTAATTCATCCTTGGATTAAAAAATGCCTGTACTTTTGGAATGTGTTATACAGTATTTACACCGGTGCTTAATATTTGTATTGTTCATTTATATTTTAGTGTATGTATGTATTTGTATTTGTTGTTATACTCAATAGAACAGAGATGATTCCTGCAATGAACATTTCAGCTGGATGTGTGTAACTGTTGTTTAGCGCTGTCTTCTCAGGCTTTTGGTAAGTGGATTACATTGTACAAAGGCAGCAATATTATTTTGCCTGACACACGGAGGAGAAAAATCTCTAAATAAATATTGACTTTTTCATAGCTGTCTTCCAGGTTATGACTTATCTGCCCTCGCAGAAACACTGCCCCGCTAACATTTGAGTCTGTGCGTGAGTGTGAGTTTGTGTGCGTGTGTGCGTGTGTGTGCTCACTAGCTGCAGAGGTGCTCTGGGAGGCGTCTCCAGAAGATACCATGGCGACGCTGTCGATGGGTGTCCCGGCAGACACAGACGCAGCAGTGGCTGATGGGACGCTGGTGGAAGCGCCTGCAGACGGTGCCATGCCAGTTTTCTTAGGTGCAACGACAACACTCCTATAAAGAGAACAAGACAGGTTTTTTATTTATTTATTTTCCTTTACAGAACCTTTGCAATATACAGCTGAGGTGGCGGTTCACAGCGAGACATGTTGGACTTTTATGTTCAGTACATCCAATGAGTCCAAACTACATTAATCTTGAAGAGTAATTACAGGGCTACTTTTCTTGAACAAAGTATTTTCAAATGGTTAAATGTATCTGTCCACATCCAAGCAGCTACCTGCAGAAGTCTTTTATCTGGAATAATAGGCTAATTGGCCTTGGGAAGAAAATACAAATAAAAAAATGTTTAGTTTGAAGGCACATTGTGTAAGACGGTCCTAACAATTTTTTATTATGCTAGGTTTGGGATTCTTTTCATAAACTTCTAAAGAAAACGTAGCAACCAGATGCCACTGCACGCATCCAATAATTAGTTAAATGAATAGCGGACATAGGGGCAAAAAAATGCAAATATAGCGAGGACAAGCTCCTCCCAAGAGAGAAGTGAATCTGGGGTTGGCTTTCACACGCTGGCGAGCCCCGCTACCCTGGCTGAGGCGCAGAGGTGGCCAAGTCTGAATGCTGTGTTTACTAACTGCATCCAATAAACCCTACTCATTGTGACTCTACATAAAATATGCAAAACTTCTAGGCATCAGTGTTTAATCCTACCGTAGAACAAGCATTCATAAAATCTAAATGCTGCAAATACTACAAAACAAACTTTGCCAGGTTTCTTGATTTCAATTTCTAGAATAGATCAAAAATATATCTGATGAATGAATAAGAAAAATAAATCAGTCAAATATTTGATTCAAATGTTGACGGGACTTAATTCTACAGACATATCCTCTTGTATTGGCTCACTCTTACTTAAATTACCAAAACAACTTTTTCCTGCTGAGCCCAAATGTCCCATCATTGACAGTTAGCCTAAATGTGCAAACACAGTTATCTATTCAGTGATAATGCTGCTTCTTCAGATGTCGCTCTGGCCAGCTAACAGGAAGTGTTTCTCGTAGTGATGTGGTACGACTGAGTGGAGTTCAATTCCGCTCCTGCTAACAGCAGATGGGAGGAGAGCAGCATGCAGATAAGCTGTCAGTTTAGAGCAGGGCTCTGACAGACCACTGGCCATATCAAAGAGAGCCTGGCCCCGCTTATCAGTGCTGACACAGGGGAGGCCGGGTCTAATCACTGGCTACTGCTCCCTCTCAGAAACACAAACCAATGCACTCCACACAATTTGAATATAGAAAGAAAACAGAATTTGGACAAAAGAGCTAACATACTTTCCTCCAGGAGTCAATGTGTTCGCAGATTTTCATGCACACACAAAAGAGGATAGCCGAGTTTGGCTCCCTGTGGTGCAGACGGATACCTGGCTGCACTATCAAAGGCTGTTCTTAGCTGATTTAAAGCAGGTGATCAGATCTATTAAAAGTGACTGTGAATGTTACAACTTCAAAGCCAACCTTTACTTTGACGGATCAATGGTTTTGGCATAACAGAGCTGCATTCGGAGGCCAATGGCTTGACAGCTTTTGACAGTGTTTTAAATACAAATATATACTGGAAAAGCTCAGAGTGATACATACAAACTGAAGAAGTGATAGGACAGAGTGAAATCAGTATTGATAACCGGAAGGAAGGGTGAAGATAAAAGTTTTTGCTAACTTTATTCTGTTCTGATAGTGAGTGGGCTGGAGGGTGGTATCAGGGAACAAGGGTGGTGCTGACGTGAAGCACCCTGGGTGTCAACAGCAAGGGAGAGAGAGACACAGGCCCCCCTGGTGTGTGCAGGCTAGGAGTGTGTGTGTGAATGCTTCCAACATATTTGAATATATGCATACGAGTGTAAAAATAAAATGCATGGATGCACAAGTGTGTCCGTCTGTAAACATGTCTGTATATGTGTTTGGCCTTCCATCTGTTCCCCAGCAAAGGCCCGGTGAATTATTCAGCAGGTCATTAGCCACACTTATCATGAGTGGGCCGCCCCAGTCGATTAATCAGCCGTCAGCGGCCCCACTCAACCCACAAACAGGAGCCGAGGGCAGTGTGTGTGTGTGTGTGTGTCTGTGTGCGTATGTATTCTGGGCTAAGGCTGAATTATTTAAAGGCTTTAACCTACAATGGATAAGTGCAGTAAACAATGTGATTCCAGTAATCTCTGCTATTTCAGGTAAAACAATTGTGAGAAAAATAGCATTCTGTAGAGTGTTAACAGAGAAAACTCATGGGAGGAAGAGGAGGAAGGGGAGGAAGGGGAGGGAGGGGAGGGTACGCACCACCAGAGCTTTGATCTCCGCTTTCACCCTCGTTCCGTTCAACCCTGAGCTTTTTAATGTTCAAAATGTTATTCTTTGACATACGCTATAAGACCTCTTTCAAATCATCTGTGAATAAGTCCATCTCAAGATGTGATTGGGTGATGGTGGCTGCTGGTGTGGGAGGGGCATTAACTTGATGACATCAGTGATTAATGGGTTGAGCAACTGAGACCTAAGGGGCCTACAAAGTATGAGAACAACAGAATCTCAATGGTTTTCATGTGTGTTTGTGAGTGTGTGAGCAAAAGGATATTTGTGTTTGCATCTGAAATGCATTGGATATTGCTTTTATAGAACAAGGGGTAGCTGAAAACATGAGGAATGCATTTTTTAAATGTTTGGCAAAAAGTTTTGTTTTGTTACTTAAATACCTAATGCAATGTGTGGATATGTTTGTACTTATGTGAAAGTGCTGGCCTGTTGTTTGTAGGGGAATAAACAGTAAAATCATTGTTTTATAGGTTGTATTCCAAACGTGCTTTGAGCGTGTGGTTTTATTTATTACCAGTGAGATTTAAAGTACCTTTTTTTTTTACTTTTGAGTTTTCTGCTCGAGTGACGGTCTTTGTTAAATATTTGTAATCATTGTTTTTAAGGGATTATAGCAAAAAACATATATATGTATAACAGTTTGCATAAATAAAAATTGGGGGATTGACAGTTTACTGAATTTTTCTGCCATTATTCTTAAATATTGATATACTAAACAGCATCAGCCACAGATATAATATTGATCAGGCTTTTATATGAAGTAACAAAGTAACTCTAAACAACCTTTAAAGTCCTTTGTTGGCTTGTGACAGTCTTAATGACACATATGAGCACCTGATTTTTCAGAAAATAACAGCAGGTTACAACATATCTCATTAGTTTGATGCAGGATCACTAGTAAACTTTTATAAACAGGTATAAAAAAGGTTAACTTGTGTTGGGAGGAATTTGCAGAATCTCAGTTTGGAGTGCGATGGAGAAATTGAAAAGGGAGCGCTCTTTCAGTTGTGTTTGTGCCGGACATGCTTATCCTCTTCCTAAGCCGTACATTAACAACACTTCAGCATCAACACAACTCATCTGTACATCAACTCTCACATGCATGCAGAGTCTGCTGCCAGGAATGCAAACAACCGCACCATGTATATCCCGGTGTCTAACACTCTCATATTCTGCAGAACCATGCCGTCTAAATCATCGGCTTGTACAATGACACTGTTTAGTTCTGGTTAGTGTCAGCAAATATTTGCAGACTGGCTGTCATAACAGGGGCATGGCTGAGAAATGGATGGGAGAAATCCAGCAGGTCTCCACTAGTAAATAAATCAGAAGGGATACTTCACCCCCTGACCAACCCCCGTGTTTTTATCTGGGGGATCCCAGCTCCTTTCATACATTGCTCTCGTAAATCCAGCCCTGTGGGTAAGTGGGAAGTTGCCGTGCTCTGGTGGGAGGTGTCAGGTCAGAATATCAGCCTTAGCTTTTACTGGTGTCACTGGGAGACTTACTGGTTTGTGGAAGATGCTGAGCAGTGATAGATTCATTACAACAAGATAATAAACACAGAGCATGTCTGCATGCGTGGTAGGTAGAATCGGTAAGGACTAGAGACAGCTGGCTGATAAAGAGCGGTAACCTCGGGAGATAACGAAAATAAATATAGGCATAAAGCAAGTGAATGTTTTTTTATAGAAGGGTAGTTTTGACCAAGAAACGTCAACAACCTCCCCCACTTCTGCAGTGAGGTCTGAGAATAGTGAAACATTGTGAATCTAGGTGAAAAGAAAGGCTTGAATGTTTGTATTAGTTGGTGCAAATGTTAAGTGCTGAACCAGTCAAGGCCATTTATCATTTAGTCGCTAGGAAATGGACATCAATTTTGATACTTGCTTAATTTTTGTAGATCCTTGACGAAGCAGTATTGCCAATATTTGCTTTTTGACAATTGTGAATATAGGCTCTTTTTTCTCTGTTTTATATCATTTTATTTCACAATTTCACCAAAAAAAACCTTGTAGCTTTAGAGCCAGACAGGGTTGTAAGTTGAATATTGGAAGACAAATAATTGGTATATTGTTGGATTTAGGATGGGATTTATTGACAGAAACAAAAAATATAGAATATTGCCAGCCTTGTGATTAAACTGAAGATAAATAAATGACTAGATAAATCCCCACAATAAGGGGGGGGGGGGGGGGGGGAGTCATGTGAGAGAGCCTTTTTTCCTCTTAAAGGAGAGTCAGGGTAGAGCTTGCTGTCGGTGCCTGGTCTGAGCATGAAGAGGCTCCCACAGGCAGCGAGGAGCTGTTAGTCTATGCTCTCCAGCTCTCCTGACGTCCTCTCTTCCTACCGAGTGTGCTCAGCGGACAGGAGCCAGTCTAATCCCCCTGATATGAGGAGCGCCCTGAGACCTGACAAAGCATTCCTCAGATAAAGACACGCGATCACAGAGATGCCGTGGAATTCCCACAGTTGGGGGTAGGCAGACTGACTAAGTGTGTTTGTGAGAGCGAGAGAGAGAGAGAGACAGAAATGGAGAATTTCTTTTTTTCAGTACATGAGAAACTTGACATCCCCCCCCATGGAGACTTCTTTCTCCCCCTTCTCCCATCTCTCTTTTTAGTCTCTACCAGCCTCTCCCCTCTCTGCCGTCTGTGAATGTCTGCTTTAGTATCAACGCTCTAAATTCAAACCAGACCGGAGACCATCCTCTCTCTCACCTGAGCCCGTCTGTGGCTTCAGTACCAGGCTCTGCTTTTGAAGCTCCTGACTGTTTACCCCAGCAGCTCCAGGGTTAATGTAAATGATACAGCTTTCATGCCAGAAAAGGGGGATGCCGCCTCAAATGTTAGACAGGGAGAGTGGAGTAGCAGGAGCGATGAAAAAGAAAGTTGTTTAATATCAGTGACACTGAGAAAAGAAACAGCTTCCTGCCAGTTTGGTATCTCCGTCTCTTCATCCCTGACATGACTCCTGTTCTCCTTAAGACAGGTTCTTTGTAAGGCGCTTTGCCTGGGATGAGAGCCTACATCGACAGCTATCAGAGACAACAATGGGAAAAAAGGGGGAAAAAGTCGGAGACTGAGATTCCCCCCGGTTCAAAGGGGGTTTCTGTTACAGAACGTTTTTTTCAAGATCCACTTCCTCTGAGGATACCAAGCTGAGATGTCTTCAAGAGCTGACTTTCAAAAGTCCCCCGCAGTTATGTTGGGATAAACGGTACGAAACTGTCAACTGTGAAGCTTGAGAATCACAAGCGTATTTGCACCATATGGGCTCTTGAGAAACTAATGAAGCTGTCAGGTCTGCAGCAGGGGAATTTTGGCCCTTATTTTTTCCCCAAATCCCCTTGGTGCAGAGCAGAAAAATATGTTTTTTTTCTATAAAGAGTATAGTAGGATATATGTATGTCGAGCCATCAGCTCTCACCTATCAAATGAGCGGAACTGTCGAGATGAGTCTCTGGCCGCATCGCCCACACTTCCTAGGAACGTCGGTGGCAGCAGACTTGGGTCCACCATCATGTCATCAGCTGGAGCGCTCACCAGGCTGCGCAGAATGTCCTTCACATTCTTGCCCTTTGAATCAGTGGGCAGAGAAGGTCTGACCTCAGAGGACAGCGTAGACAGGGCCTCTGAGATGGCGTCTGGGCCGTGAGTCACGCCGGAGGAGGAAAGGTCCGCCTCGCTCGCGGCCACCGAAGTGTGGTCATCCCCGATGCCAGAATCATAACGTCGGAGAGAGACACCGTTCTCCACTTCGAGTCCACCAGAAATGGCACCGCTATCTAAAAAGGACACAAGTAATACATTATAGAGAAATGTGAACGTAATTCTCTGCCTTTTTTTCTCATTCTATAGTCAAATATATGTAGGGCTATATAATATAGATTCAACAGCCTCTCAAAATTATTCAAACGAAAACACAAAAAGGGGACGCAAGTGCTTTCCACACAGCTCTATATTTGGGGGTCATTTGCAGCACTTTTTCTCCAATGCAGATAAATATGTCAGATATATTTTGTAGCTGCTGTTTACCTGTGCTCCTGGAAGACTGGGACCTCTGAGGGCGTTTCTTGTCATTCTGGGGCTCCAGGATGTCGCGGTACTTGGACACCATCAGGACTGAGATGAAGTAGACAACAGCAAGCGCCAAAAACTGAGCCTGCTTACTGTCCTCCTGAAACAAACAAAATACACTAAACGAACTGCGTCTTCTTCAGAAAGCATGACTGCTAAAAGACATTTTGTGAGTGTTATGCACAGTGTGTCTGTTTATCATGTTGCAGGAATGTTGGTTCTGTACGACTCACGATATCTCTGAAGACGACAGCCCTGAGGCGGTTTATGTCCATGTCCTGCAGAAGCCGGTCCAGGTCTCTGACTGGAGACATCCCACCTGTCACTGCATCAACAGGACTCTGCATGGTTGCATGAAAATGAAACCAAATGTGTTATTCTCTCCATATGAGGTGAAAGCGGAACATGTACTCTTACACCAATCAGTATGTGTATTAATCCATGTGCACTTGGAGGAGTTGGGTAAGGTTTCACAGCTTTGAGAAGCTATCCCTCCTGGGATCAAGTCCTTAACATAATGGCTTTTCTATGGAGCCACTGCATTATAAATGAGCTTTAACACCCGGTTCAGGGAAGAACAACACGACTTTACTGGAAGTCACTGTATCAAATCAAAGGGGCAATGAAAAAAGGCCTTGTCGAGCGTCAAAAATAGCAACCAGTGCGGTAATATAATAAGATATGAGCTAATGCAATAGAGCTGTGTTGTTGTTGGTGAGGAGGACAAAGGGCAAAGCCTCCTCTGCTTTACTATCCAGGACAGGAAAAGAGCAGATTTTCAAGTGTAGAAACAATCCAGAAAACGAGAGATTTGTTTTTGGCTTTTCAAGGGAAAACATAGTACAAATAGACAACATGTAGGAAAGGTGTATTTTAATAAAAGGTGTAGGTGATGTTATGGGGTACTTGCCTGTGCAGCTGCAGACATGGCTGCTCCCATGTTGGGCATGGCTGTGTAGCTGCGTGCGGAGGCTTCTGCACCGTGACTGCATTGGGCTTGCTGACACTCCAGACAGTTTCTAACAGCCATCGCACAAACTAAGGAGGGATGGAGAAAGAAATATTATACGACATCATATTTATAAAGTAATTTTAGAGAAGGATTATGCTGAAGTCCCTTTGAGGACATTGAACCTGAAGCAAAAAGGGGAAATCTCTGCTTATAAACTGAGAAAACCACAACGGGAGCAGCTGAGAGAGACAAACACAAAAGAGAAAAAGTGGGGCCATGACAAGGTCAGTGCTCTGGCCAACTCTGGCAGCATCGTTCACTCTTCCCTGCTCCACCTCTCCTCCCAAGGTCACAGTGCAAGGGTGTGCTCTTGAATCACACCCACTGCGTGCCGCTCCCATAACAAATGACACACTGCTCGGGTGTGCACATGCTGAGTAGGCAGCAAGATACGTCCTTTCTGGCTAAGAAGACAAATGTTGTGGTCCAATAACTTTGTGTGGGTTCAAAACTGGCACACTTACCATTTGCAATCTCGTGTGCCGCTCGTCTGTTGCAGCCCCTCCCCTCCCCCACCGTTCTGTACTTGACAACTGACAAATGTTAACTCTGAGCCATTTAGATTACGAAGGAGGGAATTATTCCGTCTGGAAATGGGCTCGCTTTTTCCATTAGGACTACTCTTTCATACGACCATTTATTTAAAAAAAAAAGGGAGGCGGAGGGAGGGGTGGAGATGCTAAAACCTTGTTACAGTCTTACAAAATCAGATTAGGTGCCAGCAATGGGGAGTGCATACCTCATCAAATATTCATTTCATAACGGGTGCTTTCTAAAACTAGACCTGTAGTACGCTGGCATCACTTTTCAGCTAAACAGCGGTAATGATAGTTGGATAAAATCTGAGAACAGAACTCTTTTAACAAGTTTGCATTTTAAAAAGCTTTTTTGTTTGTAACCCCTGCTATAAAACGGAAAAACTGATACCTGGATATGCACCATGGAACTAAGCATAGAAAAATGATTTAAATCAGTGTAGAAAGTACTTCCACAGAGTGAGTACGTGTGTGTATGCTGTGTTGATCTGTGTTTGCTGAAAAGGTGCACCACATGAAATGAATAATGTACGAATTTCTATATATTTTATTCAGCTGGAGCGTGGCTTGGCTTCTGATGCTGTCAGAGGAAACTGTAATAGCCTGGAACAGAAGGCAGGGAAAGGCCTCGGGCTACGCTGCAGTGCAGTGCAGCCAAGGCCATTATGTAGAACTCACTATATCATGATAGCAGCCATTTTAGAGTGTTGCCATGCAGTGGGGTTATAATAACAAGATAAGAGAGTGCTGATATGAGCGGAGTGAAAGAGGCGAGGGAATGAGCAGTCGCCGGAGATGGAGAGGAAGACGGCAGGAAAGAGAGAACACAGGAGGGAGGGTGAAGAAGGCTACAGGGAGTCATGACTGAGGCTAACACAAGAGGCTACTGCCGGCTGATATGAGAGGGATCGATGAACAGGGGAGGACAGAGGGCTCGGTTAGAGGAGGAGATAAAAGATGGAAATTCAGAAAGGGCTACATGTCATCAAACGGAAGGTTAAAGTAGACAAACAACAAGGTTTAACCCCAAATTGTGTTGAACGATATCAATAATGAGTCTTATAAAATGAATGAGATTGACCAAGTTATGAGGTGAAAGGAACCAAACTGTGTGCATACCGAGGCGAAGGCACTGTCGCAGGATGCCTCCCGACGACATGTTCTTCTCAGCTTCTATCTCTGTGAAGGTAAGGGAGCTGGCAAAGATGAGAACATCCACGAGGTTGATGAGGCGGTGGAGGAAGGTGACTGAAGCCTCCACCGTCAGACCGTGGGAGGGTTCGATATTCTCCAGTTCATGCTGGTGGTGGACGGAGTAAAGATCACTGAGTTATTCATTGATAAGTCATACATACATCCTTCAATTCAGTTTATATTGAGTACAGGCTCATTGAAGCTATTAACTATACAGTATATAAGAATAACTGTACTTTGTATGGATGATAAAAACATGAATAGAAAAAAACTACATTTAGTAAAATGTGACTTTACTAGTTAGAAAACAAATGGATCAAAGAACAAAAGTAAGAGTAAAGGTTCATTCTTGACCTGTAAGGAAACTGTTTGTTTTTGAATGTTTTGGTCAAGTGACGTTTAATTCACAACATTTTATAGTTACACGCAACTTTACAATGAGTTGCCATAGAGATGATAGGGGTACAAAGTAAGAAATTCAATGTAGAAATGTACCAAAGATTTAATAATATAATAACTGTAATAAATGTGTGGAATATGTGAGACAGCTATACTGATAACACCCCTTGATACAACATTAAAATAAATTGAAATGTATTACATCGAGTTTTAAATCTGGTTAGAAACCAAACCCAATAAATGCAATTGAATTCAAAAGGAATTGAACTTCAACCTGTTTCCTTAACAGGGCCGTAAAGTCATTGACGGAGGCAAAGAATGGTGTAAGAGAGCGGCAGTCAGCGACATCAGACAACACACAAACAAAGTAACAATGTTAGGAGGCCGCTAACTGTGGTCTAATGTGATTGGAAAAGGTCAATGTGGATGGATAACTTCCTGTGATCGGAGTCATCGACTACACAGCCACAGTAAGTACACACACACACAGACACACACAGAGAGACGAGGAGACTCACAGAGGAGGAGGTGGCAGCAGAGAGCAGAGGTAGAATGCCTCCACAGGCCATGATGAGGTTGTCCACCACCTGGGAGATGATGTGAATACTGTTGTGGACAAACACCACGTTCTCGCTGCTGTTCACAAAGTCCAGAATAGTCTTTGTGGAGTGGCTGTGAGGGAGAGGATGAAATATTGCTTTGTTAACGAAACACATATTCCGAATAAGACAAGTAGGAGTATTGTATTTTTGACAAATGTAAAGTGAGAGCCTGTTTTTGATGATATAATAATATTGGTATGAAAATAACAGTGTTTTACTTACAGATGTTCTTTGTTGCCGTTTAATGCTTACATTGAAGGATTCAAATAACTTTCTATTTTTACAAAAACATTTCCTGTGCTTTGGTCTAAAGTGTCCTCAATGGGGAATGAATTTCAAAATATCCCTAGAGACCCTGGTTTTTAGTTTCATGTAATGTAAAGTACTGCTTTGTGCAATGGTTGTGGCTATGAGAAATATTTCGGGCCAATATCTATTTTTGCCTTTAAGTCATTGCCTTAGCAAAGAGAAATACTTTACTTTGAGTAGAATAAGTCTACTAAGTATTACACAAGGATTCAACAAGCAAAAGTAAGTAGTAAAATCTTCCCACTAACAAAACAAAGACTGGTGAAGGACTCTTTCAGGCAGCTCTCAATTAGTAGAAGGCTTAAATGAAATCTGGTGTCCGCTCCTCAGAGGCACAAAAAGCCAATAAATCTATTTTCCATTAGTCAATTAACAAAATAATTGTTAGCTAAAGCGTGAGCAATGTCAGAGTCAGCAGATTGTTCCCGTACCTCCTCCACATCTGCACATCTGTCTCAATAGAGAAGAGCAGGTCAGCCAGGAGGCGTTGGTGCATGTGGGACCAGCGGAACTCTGGGATACGAAACATGGTGGAGCGAGGGGCCGGATTGCTGCCCTCTCTCTGCTGACCTGCAGACCCCCCCGCTGCTGCCGCTGCTGCTGCTGCTGCTGCTGCTGCTGCTGCTGGAGGCTGGCCCTGGCTTGTTTCCTACAGAGAGAAACCAGTTATACACAATTAGCTTTAAAAGGAAAACTTAAGGCACAAGAGGACCATTTGTAATTAAAATGATCCATTCCGTGCTACTTAGAATTTGTAAGAAACGTTTTTTTTTTTCTCGCATGCCTCCACCGTCAACTGGAAAAAAGGTCTTGATGATTTCATATAAATAGAAGCATCTGGTCTCACTTCTCCCAAACACATGCATATTCATAAAGATACATTCAAACACAGTAATAATGCAAGTGTTTGGTAAATATTGAGATTATATACGAGATTATTTCTTAATGAATATTTGGATATTATTTTACTGTTGTTATAGCGGTTTCCTCTTATTTCAATACTTCAAGACTTTTCTTTATTTTACCTTTTCCGTGCAAGAGAAACATTTTTCTAAGAATTCAAGGTACCACGGGATGGGTAATTAATATGCAAACAGTCATTTTTATGTGTGAAGCATTCCTTTAACATAATGATAAATAGAACTGATCACTTTCAGTTTTAAACCATCATGTTAAAAAATAAATATTTAAAGTAGAGAAATCAGTTCAAGAAAAGGGATGCGTACTGTAGTTGAGGTCTCCTTTAATTCAAGTCTCTCCGTGTCGAAGGCCACATTGGACACGTCCAGTCGGGCGATTTTGATCTCTTTGGTCTTGCTGACAGGGTCTGCAGTCTTCTGTGCGTCAGAGGTGGAGGCGGCAGCGCTGCTATCTGTGGGAGCGGGCAGGGTTTCTTCTTCAGTGGTGCTGGTGGTCTCTAAAGGCTGGCTAGGTGAGGGGGGGTCTGAGGCTGCTGCGACCTCCTGGGCTGTAGAGGTTGGTGTGGCATCAGAAGGCTGCTGGTCTGGTGTAGCGGGTTCAGTTATGGAGGAAGACTGGTCATCTTCGGGTGCTTCTGTCTCACTCTGTTCAGGTGTTTCAGTCAGAGAAGTCTCACTCTCCAATCCAGACACCTGTTTCTCTTCAGCTTCACTCTCTTCTTCCACTTCTCCTTGTGATTCAACCTCCTGCTTCTCATCACTGTCTTCGTCTGTCTTTATCTCATGACCTTCCTGATGATCATCCTTGCCTTCATCATCGTCATCTTTAGCTTCCTCCTTTTGTCTTACCTCCTCTTCCTCTCCGGCAACTGCAGAGGCATAAGAGGACTCTTCTTGGCTATCATCAGCATCACTTGGGGGGATCTGGTCGCTGACAGAGGACATGTCAGCCAGGTCCTCGTTGAAGACGGAGTCTCCTCCTCCCTGCACACTGTTCTCCAGACAGACCGCTGACTCGGGGTACGTTTGGTCCTTATTATCGTCTTGTTCTGAAACCTCGGGCACCTCTGTATCTGCTTCATTCAAAGAGTCTTCTGGGGTGGAGGTTGATGATTCCCCTTTGATAGGTTCAGACTTGTCATCATCTGTTGCAGATGTTTGTGCATCATCACTTGCAGATGGTGTAGCAGAGTCTCTAACCCCTTCTGTTGCGTTTGTGTCATCTGCTTCGCTAACGGATGTTTGCAGATCATCGGAGCTCTTGTCAGTGGAAGTCTCCTGTTCTTCTTTATTGGTCTCTTCACTCTGTTCCTCGTTATCGTCCGTTTGTGTCACAGTCTCTTTTCCCTCATCACCTGAGCCATCCTTGGAAGACTCCTCAACAACCTGCTGCTGCTGCTGCTGCTCTTCTTCTTCTTCTTCTTCTTCTTCTTCTTCTTCGTCGTCATCATCCCTGGCCAGGATGTTGGACACGGTGATGGATGCGTGTCCACTTCCCTCAGCAGCCTCTGGTGGGCTGGAGGTAATGGTGGAGCCAGATGCCGTGTCCGGGGACTTGTGGGACAGCTCGTCCACTGTGAGCTCAATGACTGTGGAAGGGGCCGTCTCCTCTGCAGGGGTCCCGTTAACACACTCCATGGTGTCCGATCTTTGGCTGACACCAGAGATGGTTCTGATGGAGCTCATAGAGCCTGTGGACCCCTGATGCTGGTACTGACGGAACATATGGGACAGATTCTCTTTGTGCTGCTCGAAGGTCACCTGCAAACACAAAAGAGTACATGTTCAAATGTAAGAAACACTACTTGGCATTACTTAAAGGAGTTGGTCCATTATTTATTGGAGGGAAATTCCGATTTATTAAAACTTTGGTTATTTAAGTCATTTCTGAGACCTAACACAATTCTCCAAGTATTAGAACAATCTAAGAATTTGTACACAAGACAGCTTTCCAGAATATGTATACTACTTTATTTAGGTAACAAACTGAAAGTGAGTGCACAGTAAACACGACTTTGACTTCCTGGTTCAACTTGAACTTCCTGTACTAACAGTATTTGAAACTTTGACAGATGTTAACAAAGGACCTCCAAATAAATGTGGCTAACCAGGCAGCTTATTTAAAACCTGAATGACCATCTACTCGCTTATGATTCCCATTCAATCAAACCTCTTATTAAAGTTACAGTTTATTCAGATTTCAGCACATTTCTATGAACTATGATTTGTTGCTACTTATAGGAAAGCCAAAAATACACAAAACAGACCCAAGCTTCTATCAAATATATGAAAGACTGGATTTGTGTTTGAGAATGGAGAAAAGGCATCATGCAAACCTTATGAGCAATGTACTTCAAGAAGTCATTAAGATGTACCAGTGGTTTTACATACAAATAAATATCCCAAAAATGCCATTAAATATTTTCCGAAGTCATCTCATCAAATAAGCCCTCACTCTTTAAAATGATATATTTTGATTTGATTTCCATTTTATGTCCATGTGTGATATAATACCCAATTATCCCGTTTCATCTGGAAACATCAAATAATGGAAGATATTCTCAAAATGCTCTTTAGTTGTGAGTTTATTACAGTGTCTAACCACTGGGACCATTTGAGGCTAACTATTCAATATTTAAAACTTTTCCTCTCTCTTACGCGCAGCTGCCCACAGCCTATTAACCTCTATCAGTCTTCTTACATCTGATACGGGTAGACGAGACTGCTAGTCTATAACGACAATGGTCTGCAGTGGCATTTGAGGAAGAGCCCATCCATGTAAGCAGTCATAGATTAGCAGTAGATGCTATTAGTCGGTGTCTGCTAGCTGTTCTGAGTGCGTGTCCAGCATCGGCAAATCCTCCCACGCCTAATTTAAGACCCTGCATTAATCACTGGGCCTTCGAGGACAGAAAGTCAAAGATGGGTTGGGGGTGGAAGGGGGGGGTGCAACTAGACCCACTTTGCTGCTTTTTCACCTGAGGCTATTTGGACAGGAGCAGAGAGGGAAAGAGAGAGCGGAAGAAACAAAGAAAATGAGAAAGCAGAGATCAAAAGGACGAAAAAAATAAGAAATTGCAAAGCATGAAGAGGTGGAAAGTGAGTCATTGAGAGTGGAAGAAAGGAAAGGGAGAGAAAGGAGCTGATTATTTGTAATTAATTAGGCGTTATTGTTCTAAATTAGCCTGCTACACGGGTGCTCATTAATCTTCTGTAGTGGGTAGCTGTGATTGGTAATCCATAGCTGTTTTCAGAGTGCACAGCCTGCTCTAAATGCGCCCGTAGTCCGTCTCTTTCCAAGTGATCACACAGCAAGACCGTCTACCCCATTAGTTTGAGCTTAATTTGACATTTAGCATTTTAGCAATTAAAAGGCTGCATTCAGAGCACGCCGCGATGGAGTTTTGTGTGAGAACAGTGCAGAACATAACGTCATAGATTCAGGATGCAGTCTGTGCATTAAGATGATGCATGTTGGCCTTAAATGGGGCTCTGTAGCAGATCCAGTTACCATTAGACAGAGGTAGTATACGTCTGTGGTTTTTTTGAAAGTGCGGTTAGCCTCGCTACAATATATAGAAACTGCCTTGGGTGGCTAAGACATCAGCGCCGATCTAATCTAATTTCATTCTACTCCATGACTCGGCCTGGCCTCAGTGGGGTATGGGAAAATGTTATGGTAATGTACAAAAACATGGTGGGCTTTTCTAATGTGACAGGTAACATGGTATTAACTGGGCACAGAAGGAAGGGGACACACTATGATTAGCAACAAGGCATTGCCATACGTTTCCCCGCAATCTATCACAAACAGAAATAAGTCAAATGTCCTTTTTTCTCTGCAGTAAAACAATATTTGCGATCACATTTACACAACAGTCCATACGGAATTCAGTATTTCCATTCTCCTCATGACTGCTGTATAGCTGATCAGGAATAAGCAGAGTCCCCACACCACAACCTGTTTGGTGAGAGTCAGGGGGGGGGGCAAAGCGGTGATCTTGGGAGACCCCCGCCGTAGGAGCCTGGGAGTCCCCATTTAGATAAATAGATAGAGAGCGACCACAAAACAAAGGGGAAATGGGGAGGGCAGCATGGCTCTAATCCGATTAGCTAAATGCAATTCCTCCAGCAAAATCAATGTCGTCTGCTACTGCGGTGCTGGCTGGGTGGTTTTTTGCTCTTGTTCACAATATCGTTGTAAAAACATTTTTCTTCTTAGTTTTTTCCTCCCATGTGATCCAGTCATGTGTATACAGTCTTTATCTGTGACTTCTATCACAACCTTAGGAAGACAAGCGGACACAAAGGTCCTTCAGGATAACGTACACTCAACACTCATGGGGTTTTAACCACCTCATTATTATGTATTTCCCATTGAGATTTCAATATTTATTGTAGGATCACAGAATAAAAGACATCGATATACGTACTGGTGATTGTCTTTCTTTTAGAAAGTATAGACAACACTTGATGCATGGCTATTATCTAGCATTGGCTTTTCTCTCTTCCCACTTTCTGCTCCTTTGTCAACTTGTCAATGTATCTGAAAGTCTTTGTCATTAACCACAAGAACGTCTCAATAACCCTAAAGGGCAACAAAAATAAAACGCCTGGACAAACTATTCTAAGTGGAAATGGAAAAGGGTCATAAGATAAAACTAAATCCTTCCAAATATCCTCAACTTATTGAAAATACAAGTTATTTATATTTTTGTCAAATATGTGTTGGCTCATCTCTGCTCATATTCATCTCTGGTGTAAAGCGTCTGACAGGCATAATGAAGTCCGCCAGCAGAGTCTGAAGGACGGAGGGACCTTCACACCCCAATGTCTCTCTTTTGGAGATCTCCTTGTTCTCAAACTGATTTGTGTGCAGAGATGGACGAGGGGCACCTTGGGTGAGTGTGTGTGCAGAGTGGGGGGGCTGTTGTGTCAGCGTGCCCACCTGCAAGAACATCTGTCTGTTCAGAGAGACGCTTATGCAGGTACACTCACTTTCTAATGACTGACAGAGAGGGATTCACACACACACACACACACACACACAGTAACCCTATGCACACATCATAACCAGGTTGACAGTGCTTCTTGCTAATCTCTGCTTTAACAATAAAATTACATATAAAGTCTCAGGCTGATTATTAAACCATCTCAATTCATGGAACAAAAAGCTGCACTTTGACGTTGGACAGAGACAAAACATGTGGGCCGTATGGCACAGATTGAGCTTTTCTTAAGTTTCCAGCAAGGTGAAAATACAATTTTACACCTAAAGATTGATAGGACAAAAATTCAAGACATCCGAAGTAAATATAACACATATGGTCATTCTGATCACTACAACGCGACCCAAATAGAAAAATATGTAAAAACTTCAAATGTACAAGTCCAGTTACAGTGAATAAGGAGCTGAATTTCTCCAATTAAATTAGCAAAAGGCCTGAATTTCGGCAAAACAGGGAACTCATAAATGTAAATATTATACTGGTAAACTTTGATTTTTCCCATCTGCATAAAATGTGAATATGTTATTTGGGTATGCAATTCAAAATGCTAGAGAACACCCTTACCAGCAAAATGATAAAAACATCTTGATGAATGTACTGTCTACACATGCCAAACTGACAACCTTACCACAGTTGAGACAAGGGAAAATAATTCCTAAAGTCTGTGTAGATGAGAAGTGTGCAAATATGTATTTGTGAATGCATATATGCACTTATCAAGAGGCTCCCAGTGGGCTGGTTGTATTTATGAGGCCTTGTTTCTCTGATTGTTCTCACACGGTTCCGATGAATATTCAATGGGCTTGGAGAGAAGGGCTTTCTAGAGCCCAAGAGAAAAGGAGGGCAAAGAGAAAATGTACCTAGTAACTCACATTTGCACACACACACACACACTCATGCGTGCAGACACAGCCCTGAAGCAGTGGGAGGAGAGAGCAGCAGTGACAAACAGCTTCGGTGCTACAAAGGTGGCAGGAAATCTATCAAACGGGACAATAAAATTGCAATTGAGTTTCTTTAGCTTTTTTATAGCAGATGCATGGATCTTGGTGGCTAGCACCCGATGCAACTGTCTGAGTCGCAGGCGGGGTCCCTGCACTGAGCATGTGTGTGTTTCTAACACCTTACTGGAGCCAAGAAGAAACAGCATTAATCTTATGCAATTATAGGGAAAAAAGGCAATTACAGCCTGTCGAGCACAAAGAAAAATAAACAATTTCTGCACAACACCAAACTTCACACATTGCTTCGTTGCCAATTGAGACCCTTACACACTGCAGCTTTTTGAAAAAATGTAATAAGGTGATTATTTTTATTTATATATTCTTTTTATTTGTAATCTTACTGTCCAACAGATAAATTACAATGCAATGGAATTCTTCGAAGCTAAAATGTGTAATAAAAAGTGGGCAGTTCGAATTATCTCCATGTTAAAGTAATTGTATCAAATTACTATAGTCCTCGCCAAAAGAGTATTTAAATAGGGTCTGAAATTACCACCGTAAATGGTCCATTCTTCTTAATTATAGTATTTGTTTTATGATACTCAAGTTCAGCGTCACATGGCCTGAACTGCAAATTCATTCCGTGCCTGTAACATAAGGCAGAGTGTCTGACTGAAAACATTGAACTTTATTATGTGCAGATATTCGTAATTAGCAGAAACATTACTACTTCCAGTTCCAAAAATGTAAACCTAACATATTTAACAGGGTAAATTATATTTATATTGATTTATATATATATATGGTTTCATTACAAAAACCCATATATTTCTCTATACTTTGAATGAAATTAAATGAAGTCTACATCTACAAGTACTCATGTTAAACAAAGGGATAAAAGAATATATTTTGAATATTTTATTGTAATATTTAAGATAATACAGTTACGTGTGCAGACCTCTGCTATCGTACACACGTGTTATATTTTCTCCATCATTGTTTCACTGTCCCACAATGTGCCCTCAACATTTCTACCTCACACACCAAATAAAGTTCTTCGCTGCCTTTGTGTTAAATGTACTAAAACCATCATTTGTAAAAATTGTATTTTCACAGCCGGTTAGTTCTGCAGTGTTTAGAGGTGTGGAGAGCACCCAGTATAAAACACACAGCTCCTGCTAACTGTTGTCTTCCCATCCTCATGTCCCAGCAGTCTGTCTGTGCCCCCTACTGGACGCCCACGCTCACAGCAGCCACTCTGCAGCGGAGCGTCTCGTATCACAAGTACTTCCTTAACTCAGCCTTCAATCTGCCAGGCTTAAAAACCCCCCAGACCACAATCTGACACCAACCTCAATTACTTCACTGCTTTGGAACAGAGTAGCGCAATATGATATCAACAGTGCATTTTCGTAAGGAGCATTTTGAATTCAGCTTTTTGGAAATACAAAGTGCCAGAAGTTTATTTGTATCTGTGCAATGTGAAAGAGAGAGACTCTATACATAAATAAAGAGTGGAAGGGGCTGGTGGACTCATTCCCGAAGGTTTACGCTGCAACTAGCTTTTAAATTATAATCACTGTATGGCTTCCATGGCGTAATCTGATGGGCACTGAGAGGCAAGGTCCAATTACCATCCCATCCTACGCTGCAAGTTAGAAGCTCGGACGATAATGCTCTCTAATTTCTTATTTAATGAATTGCATTATGTCAGATTGAAACTAAACACATGGGTGACAGAGCTGATGGCTTTGACTGAATACCGCTGTCCGTTTGGCAGGGATCAAACTGAGGAGGAGGGCTACGGTTACAGTAATGTGGTGAATGTTTAGGCTGACAAAACTGAAGCAAGATGACAGCGTGTGTGTGTGTGTGTGCGTGTGTGTGTACAGTACAGAGAGATAAAGAGTGTGTGAGGTAAAACGAAGAGAAACAGAAATGGAAAGCAAAAAAGAAATGAAACAGATGAGGAGATGGAAGAAGATCCACAGGGAAAGATAAACAAAGCTGTGACCGAGTGTATGTGTGTGTGTGTGTGTTTGTGTGTGTGAGGCGTGCATGGATATAATGAGTGCCCTGACCTTGGAGTGTGTGATGGACAGGGTGTCCACCCAGACCCGCCAGCCACCCCACTCGTATTTGATGGCGTGGTAGAGGAGGATACGGAAGATGGCGTACACCATCTCTGTGATTTTCTGCTCCTCGCTGTTCTGAGGGTGGATGTAGCACAGAGAGAGCATCCACTCCTGCCACACGGAGCACTGCAGCAGGCTCCTGGAACAGAAAGATATGCGCCGAATATGAATCCCACTGGCATTTAAACACTGTATGTACTTCTCCATCTTGTGAAGTGGTTGAATTCTTACCTTCGGTTTTCTCGGCTGTTATTGAACAGTTTGATCATGTCCGACAGGAAGACCTTGCGCACCTCCATGCTCTCGGGGGACGGGGGTGAGGCCTTCAGCAGAGCAGCTATTACCTTCAGAATTTCTAGAAATATTAACAGAAATGTACACAATGTGTTTAGGGAAAAGGTTAGTGGAACAAAATATAAAAACTCTTGTTCGTCTGTGGTGTCCATTCCGATATTTCATACATTACACTACTGCAAGTTATTTTAAAAAGTAAAAAGTTTAGACTTAGAAACATCAAGGATTCTGCTTGGAAGTGATATTTACTTTTGGCCGCAGAAGGAGAACAAGCACAAATCAACAACTAAATCATACATTGGTCTCAACATGTGCAAATCATTGTGTCACAAACTATCTGAACTCCCAGCTGTACACACCTGAAAATCTGTGCGTGTAGTAAAAAAGAAAACAGAACAGAGGAGAATAAAAAAAAAAAAGGTCCGGGCCCCTTGATCTTTATCATACTGTAATGGGTTTGGTATTGTTTCAAACGAGAGAGCCAGAGTCTCAGGGCCTTCTGGTAGGCTTGGCTACGGTTTAACTAGGGAGACTGACTGTTTAGATGAATTATCTAGACAATGTCAGTGTCCATTTACTTTGAGTAGAGAGACGGCGGGGCTTGGATTTCACTTGTCTCTTCAGACCTTGGCGCTAACCGATGCCCCCTTGCCCCGGCAGACGGTTGTGTTGTTTCTACGCCTTAGTCACTCAAATTATGAGTCGCTGAACCTTTACCGCCAGAAAATTACCCCAGCATGTACCGGGAATGAGGATGGAGGGATGGCGTATTCCCCTTCTTTTTTTCCCCCCCATTTGCTTTGGGTTCCTTTCCCTCGAGTTAATTTGAGGGAAATGGTACTTCCTCGGTTTGTTTGATTGGCTCTGACGTTACTAAAGACTGCAATCAGGGGGCCATTTTGGGAGTTTGTCGCAGATTAAATCAAGAGAATGCACGGCAAAGGAGAAACAGACCCACCGCTCTGTGTTCCACCAGAATGTGCTCACAGGAACAAACCCGTACAAGGTTTCTGTGATATATACCGCCTGTCTAGGATGGTTGGGTAGGAGAGTTTTTAACACAACAAAGGCTTATGATAATCAATGTGTGACTACAGCAGGACCTTGTCAGATTAAGGCTGGTTGGAAGTAAACCTTGGTTGTGATTATACCGACCGCTTGGATTTCAAACTGATTAAAGCTGTTTTTGCATGTGTGTGCACAAAAGTAAAAGGGGAGATGTTTTCTTTACTTCGCTGAAATTAATACTTAACATTTCAACATATGAAAAGATTTTGTGAGCTGGCGTGAAATTAAAGGTAAGTAACGGCCTGAAAATATGAGATGGGAACACTGATCAAAGCCTGGAGTCGCTGTTTCGGCTTATTATTTCACCGCATATGAAAAATGAGCAGGCACTGTCTACTGGTAATGATGCACTGGGAGGAAAAATAAGAACTTGATTGTAAATGTGTGCGAATACATAAATACTGTATGTCTGCATCTGCAAACTATTTTATTCTTTTTTGTTATCCAAGTAATACAATTGCAATTTTATATTATGATCGATAAAATATTTAAAATCATATATCAATGAGAAAATATCAAAATAAAACACTTGATTTCATGGTAAAATGTGTTTTTTAATAAAGTTATAACACATTGAATTAAAACATTAACCCCATAAAGTGCACAAAAACACTTTATGAATATGTTATGATTTAAGCAAATTCATTAATAGAATAAACTCTAAATCCACTTTAATGTAACATTTCCCACACTGAGACGCCATCGTGATTAAATTACATGAATCTTTCTTTATATGCAAATTAATCCTGACAAAACATGATACAGTCCTTCAATAAAACTAGCATATGTGTGTACATTTGTCACGTTAAGTGTTCGCACCATCCTCATGCTAGGATTATGCATGATATCTGAGGTTCAGTTGTATGAAAATACCCTCTGGCTGCTAAATTTATGTCTTTCATTTGTTTGACTGTATATAGCGATCTCACGGTTCCATGGGGAATATCCTCAAGTGCAGTTTGGAGCAAAAAGGTATGTAGAGGGTGCGCTGCAGGGGATGATTTAGGAGAGCAGTGTGGCGCAGAGGAGGCACTTACGTGGGTTGAGAATCTTCACAGTGGAGTCGGGGTCCGGATGCTGTTTATGGATCACTTGAGTGCAGATCTGCTCAGTAAGAATCTACCGGGGGAGAGCGAGGGGATTCAAGTCATAAATATCCACATCGCTCTTAACAATAACAGAGACACAAACCACACTATGGATACACAAAGCTATGTATACGTTTCACCCTCGCGTAGTATATGGCCGAATAATTGTCGAATCAGGTTTCTGCAGGAGGACAGCCATTCAATTTATTATTTAAACTAACGCATTAAATTGTCAAGTTGAATAATAAAAATGAAACTATGAAAATTAGACTAAGACGAGGTGAGTTTAAAAGGCAACAAATTCAATATTAAGCATGCATTTCAACACACAGGTTTTTATTGTATGTCCTCGTTTTCTATAAAGATATTTTCAGCCACGTAAGCAGAGGCCTGCAGAGTGTACGTATGCAGAGGACTGACCTCAAACAGCACGTTGTAGGTTGTCATGGTGAACTTGCCGGAGTGGAGCATCAGGCGTTCAGTGAGCAGGGAGAAAAGGCCATGACTCATCATGACCTCGGGTTTCCTCCTGATCAGGAAATTAGGAGGTCAAAGGTCAGTCAGTAAAAATAATTATTTGCTAAACCACTAAACCGGAACATAATATACAAATCTGAGTTGTTATAATTGCACTGAAATACCACAACGATTCAAATGTATTTCAAATACTGATTCATAGTGAAAATGTCCCAAATACATTTTAAGAAATGACACAGACAAAATCTGGAGTTTCTGATTAGTCAAATTATTGCAGCGGTTAAAATCTGTAGAAGTATAAATCAGCGAAGCTCCAGTTGACATTTGACATGGAGGAAATGAAAAAGAGAGTCCCTGCTGACTCAGTAAAAGCAGTTCTTCAGAGGAACCTCTTCATCGCTTTCATCTCTGATCAACTCCAATTTTAGTATTGTAACTGAGCTAAAAAAAAACTGTAGAATGTTATACAGTCTCACAGTCAATCTGGCATGTGGCTCTCAAGACTTAAAAAAACCTCTTGTCAACACGGTGCTAGAGTTGTCTCTGTTACTTAAACGGCTGGTTATTAGCGAAAATTAATTGATGAACAGCTTGCAATATTACCCCGAGTGTTATTATGCATCACCAGACAAAATAAAACTGGGCATTCGGAGAGATCTGGAGCACATGGTTATAGCAAGAGCTTTTAAAGGAGCAGCACCCGATAATTGACTGCCCATTAGACAAAAAGACAGCTTCCAGTTGAGACAAACTTTTTTTTTAAATCCTCAAAATGACAATAATCTAGGGGTGGTTAAATGCATTAATATCCACTTTTTCATTTAATTTACTTAATATGCTGACAGCGAGTCCTGCAGCTCAATAGAGAACTCTCATAACCTGATCCTGATTTGGCTGTGGTATTTAAATGCAGCTGTATAATGAGAGTTTTCTGCCAACGTTAATATTTTACAATTGTTCAGTCACAAAAAGGAACTAAAAAAAGTGCAGAAAAATGTAATAAATAGATATGGAAATGAAAACATTCAGAGTGATTTCAGACATGTTATTATTTTTATTAATAACATTTGTTCCCATACGAAGGGTGTACTTTAAAAAATATAATTGTACATGTGTAATACAGACTGCACTTCATAGACATTTACCAAACTACATTTCTATACTCGGGTAATATAGTGTCAATAATTCTGTGAGTGTACTTACTTTGGTGGCAAGTGTTTCAGAAAGTATCCCATTACTTTCAGGGTCTGTACTCTAATTCCTTCACTCTTTGAGGCCAGAAGCTTGTAAATCACACTGTGAAAAAAAAATTAATAACATTACATTCAAAAATAAAATGTGTTTTTATTTATTTAACAAAAAATATATATATACATTGTTAGATAAAACTATAGTGGCACAACACTGAAGCTATGCAATAAAAACAATTCTGTGCCCAACTTTTAAATATGTACTTTGAGCAAAAACGACATTGCAAAACTGTGAAAACATTGGCAGTTTAAATAAACATAGATCATTACCGAATCCCGTTGCGCTGGTCGAAGGCCTGGACCATGGACCCCGGCTGCTCAGACATCACAGCCACCAGCAACTGCAGCACGTCCATGAGATTGTCATCCTGTGGGACAGAGAGGAAAGGACTTGAAGCTATTGTTGTGTTAACAGAGAGCACTGGGAAAAAATACTGCAATACTAATGAAGCTGAGGTGACAAAGTTATATATGACAAAACAACATGACGGCATATACTTGTGTATCATTGCTAATTATTGTTGTTGAATTTAGCAGTAGCTGTAATGTGAGAAGGAAAGGTGGTCAAAAACAGTAGAAATATTTAATGACATTACAAGCATCTAAAGAATTACAATTTGCGTTCTATGAAATGAACGGCTGCTACATGTCAGTAGGCTTTTTAGGCAATGTTGTAATCACTCTTTGATTCTTACATGGTTCACTGCCTCACTGACTGATCTGACTGATTCATTTGTTATGCATCACTCCACTCTAAACAATCCACTTCTGTCAGGACGTCTAACTGGCAGACTTGGAAAAATAACAAGGAACAGCGATCCTGCGTTTAGCAACAGGAGAAGTTAGCTATTGCTCTGCATATCAGACGGTGGGAGGACAAAGTGCAGCGCAGCAGTGTGAGGTTGCCATCTGGTGGTCAGCGCTGCAGTAACAACAGCCTACCTCATGCATGGTCAGGAGGTAGTTGAGGATACTCTGCAGCTCGTCTTCCTTCACTCCATGATCCTGGAATATAAAATTGCACAAATAACTTTACACAGAGATTATGGATATATCTGCAAAACTAATAGACAACAATTCTAAAGATGACCAGAGTTTTCTCTGATAATAATAATGTATTTTGGGGTAAATTCAATGTGGCAAAGAGGTTTTCTGTACAAGAAAAAAAAAATATCCCAAGTAATGTTCATATGATAACCAAACAGGGAGGGACATCAAATGATTATTTCACCTTAAGATAAGGAGCTGACCACAACATCATCAAGCAATATAGTTGGAGCAGTACAAAACAAAAGTCCCAGGCAATATGTATTCTCCCATCATGATATCAATATGTCATTATAATACTGTACAGTTCAGCCGCAGTTAAGATGGTTCTTAAAAGAGAGCAAATACAAATGTTTAGATATATTAACATTCATATTCATTCAATAAAACCGTCGTGCCAGTTTGTGAATAGGCATTTTTATTCTCACTAGTTTCAATAATGTTTAAATGCGGAGAAGCATCCACGTAAATGGCAGCATATTCTTTATCAATAGAAAGATGTAATGAGGGCTAAAAGCTTCAATTGCAAAGCTGACATTTGAGTTCATTATGGGATGACCTACAGTTAACAACTCTTGCTGTTGTATAAAGTGGCAACTAGTTTGCTCTTGATCATATTAATAATGCATGTTGCTGGAGCCATTGACAGTCAGAACGCAACTCCACTGTAATAAGAGCGCACCAGCGACTACATTTATTATATAAACAAAACTAATGGAACCACGAGAAGAAATAATATTGACATTCATATGTGCCAGAGTCAATAAAAGCCTGTTTTCTATTTGGTGATGGGGGGTATTGGGCCGTGACATCATCAACGTACCTTCATTATGAGCTGCTTGACAAACAACAGCAGAAAGGCTCGCAAAGAGAGGATCTCCTTCTGGTTTGGTCTCGGACCATCTGAAAAACAAAATGGCAAACGATGGCTGTTGAGAGGAGCTGACATACGAGCAAGATTCAGAAGGATAACGCAAGAAATGATAACATGATCCATCTATTTTTTGAAGCAGAGATCTGCACTTGATGCTGAAGTGTGAGCATTGGTGCAGCGTATATATTTCTGTGTGGGTCCATATTTCTGTGTACATACGAATGTTTACATGTAAAATGTTGCTTTGACTGCACGATGTGAACATATACTTCAGATGACATATCAAGTTACATCAGGAGCATGCATCACATTTTATATACAATATATGTTTCAGTGCATCCTCACCCATGCCTTTGGGCACGACTCCACTGCGGTCCTGGGGGTTGATGATCCAGTAGTAGTATTTCAGTGTGTGCATGACCTGCAGTACCGTGCCCACCCTGCGGATGGTGTTGTAGATGGTCACTGTGCTGATGAACTCCGTTGCCAGGTAAGTGTAGAGTGTCAGTTGCACCTGTACAAAGATAAAGCACATATAAAAACACACTTACACACACGAGCTCGATAGTTTGAGCGGAATAATCTGGTTTTTAGTGTGTCCCAGCTTCTGAGCCCCTGAGGGTTACAGAGTCACAGGTGGAGGGATAACCTTGAACTCTGAGCTGAACTCTGAAACACTATAAATAAAATGTAGGGCAGGATCAAACAGAGTGAGAGAGGGTGCTGACTACTGTACATAGCAACCGATATGTTACCAGGGCTATACTGAATACTGAGAACTGAAGCTATAAAGATGCATTCATAAGGTTGAAATGCACCTCCTAAATCAACAGCAGCTTCTTTTTGCATGTCTCTTTATTTGGATTCTAACTTATGTCTGCACTGTTGCAGATAAAGATTGGGCAACACTAATTTTATAAAACTATTTGCAGAAATAGATTTCACTGGTTGCTGCTTATGATTGCTCAAACTCATATGATACAAACATTTCCAACAACTCCAGATATTGTTAAGTCCTAAAGTCAAACATATTTGAAAATGATAAATGTAATAATTAAAAAATGTCATAACATGTCTTTATCCAACACAATATTCTACTTTAATGTATATGTGTTTACCGTTTCAAAAATAACATTTTCACGGCAGCCACAAAAACTGTTTGCTCTCCTGGTTAAACATTGAATCCGATGAACCACTTCTTACATTTATATTGACGTCATAAAATATTACAACAGACACAGCTGCATAAAAGAAACAAATAGACATTCTGTATAGCTGTATTGTCTACATTTATTCAACCAAATACATAAGAATGGGCTGCTGTGTGTGTGCGTGTGTTTCTGTTACCTTGGCAGGGGCATGGATCCAGATGGCGGGGTTGAACAGAATGTGGTCACACAGCTGCTTGAGCAGCAGGATGCCATTCTGCAAGTTGCTAAGGTACCTGGAAAAGGCCAGCGCAATGTCCAGGACGGGCCGCGTCACATGCACCTTGGAAGACTGGAGCACAGACGGGGGGGGGGCAGAGAGTGCGACAATAGCAGGTGAGAAAATGAGAGGGTGATATGTCAGAGAGAGGAGTCAAAGACATGCAAAGGACACATGCAGAGAAAAATGAGGAGGATCTCCTCTTCTGCCTAACAAGCACCAAGCCAGCTGTGACCTCCAAATACAGCTGAGGGAAAACAAAGTCTGGCTCATATTAAGTGTTGGTGTCGGTGTGTGCCTGTGTAAGTGTGTTTGTGGCGTTAAGGGAATCAGGCCTTATTATGCCTCTGGGTTCATTACGCAGCTACTGGTACGGCAGGATGGCTCTCTCGTGTATTTATTTTCCAGCTGAGACAATTTGTGTTTTTCTCACCTTCTCCAAAGTGTAGCCGATGACGAGAAAGCCTTTGCAGGCAAGGACTTGCTCTTGCATAGCCACTGAGTTCTTCAAGAGCTCCATCACAAAGGATAACAAAGTGCAGCTAAAAGGCAGAGATGGACAGAAGGACAAACAGAGACAAAGAGAGAGAGGGTGAGTTAGACAGTGACAATAATCTATGTAAGCTGCTGACAAAGCCCTGACTGTGAAGGGCATATCCTACATGCAATGTGATTGAATGAGGGTGTCGTGTCCCCATTGTGTTAGGAGGGCAGATTCCAGCATCACCTTGAGGGCAGCAGATTTAACAACGTTGCAAATTCATAAGCAAGATGGCCTCACAGCTTTCAGGCTGAGCGTTAAATCAAAAGTTGAAAATGGAGAATCTTATTTGCAACAGCTTTTTAAAAAACTTTTTGAGAGTCTAATTTCGACAATATACGCAGGCATAAATGTTTTTCAGTTTGTTAGTAACAAACTGAAAAACTCTTCACTCATAGTTAGTGTTTTTTTGTGTTGTTTTCATACGTTTGGGCAGAAGTGAGGCTAAGACTGGATAAAGTGTATTATACTCCATGAGTTGTGTAACAGATGTTTTAAAAAAGTTTTGCTATTGTTAAACCTGGCCACCTTTTTCTTTATCTTACTAACCAGTTGTCCTTTTTTACATTTTAACTGTGGAGGAATTCAAGAAAAACTACGTCTTAAACAAGATTTCACTGTAACACAGGGTTACTATTGACATATAGTTCATTATGAGGGTGAAGTATTCCTTCAATATTTATACTAAGTCTTTTAAAACTATCACAGAGGCTTGAGGCAGCACAATTAAAACCTGATTAAGTGTAGGATAAACAAAATCATTCATTAAAGTGCTTGTGTGTGTGGGTGTGTTTACCAGACAGAGGTGTCCAGCTCATGGCTGGAGGGCTGGCAGTAATCCAGCTGTGCAAACAGAGGGAAGAGGACCTGCACGCCTCCGATGGAGTGAATGCCGCTCTGGACTGAGTGAGTCACCACGGCCTTCACGTCCTACCGAAACAAACACACACGAGGCTGTTACATAGCCAACATTTGCATGTGGGTCACATGGAAATCAGTTATGTGCACGGAATAAGCTTCATGTGTCGACATATTTTAGTACTTGAATGTAGTTACATAGTCACAACAAAACACAATGGTGTTTTTTGTATTATACCAACAGTCTGCTTTTTATCCTCACAGGAACAAAACTGATGAATAGTCATTTGAATCTTGTACTGCTGAAAAATGCTCTTAAAGTGCCAACAAAACAAATAAGCTTAATGTTTGAGAGGGTGAGTATAATCCAAGATTTCAATACTAGGTGTTTGGTTCGTTGACCTCTTCTCTGACTTGTGCAAAACATGTTGAAAACATAAGGATCAGGAAAACCTGGTTATATTTCCTTCATCTGATGTCTGTGTTTTACGTCACGACACAAACAGTGGCTTGGCAAAACATTTTCCTCTCTATAGCAATGGAGGTTTTGCACATGGCATAGCAAATCTGAAAATATAGGTCACACATTCATTCATATTTTACACGGTGTGTGTGTCTGTGTGTTAGTTTGCATGTGTGTTTGTGTGGTGAAGAAAGCATACGTTGTGTGTGGCAGCAAAAGCCTCCCTCACAAAGGAAACAAAGCATTTTCTTTGATGAGAGGGCATGAGAGAGAACTCAATTAGTGCTTGAGAAAAGGAAACTCAAAGTAAGTGAGGAAACCTGTGTGTGTGTGTGTGTGTGTGTGTGTGTGTGTGTGTGTGTGTGTGTGTGTGTGTGTGTGTGTGTGTGTGTGTGTGTGTGTGTGTGTGTGTGTGTGTGTGTGTGTGTGTGTGTGTGTGTGTGTGTGTGTGTGTGTGTGTGTGTGTGTGTGTGTGTGTGTGTGTGTGTGTGTGTGTGTGTGTGTGTGTGTGTGTGTGTGTGTGTGTAAGCCGCATAGGAAAAACTTCCACAAAAAGGTCACCACCTACTTCTAACAGGAAAAATGCACAGCGCCACGTATGTAGTTGCAAACTGAACCCGAGTCTTTGATAAGGCTAATTCCACGGTTAGAGCAGCAGGAAGCCTTTCAGCAGCTGTAGCAGTCTGGCTAGCTGAACACATTTGCCCCTCTGCCCTAATGAGGCAATTAAAATTAAAAGATGCCAACTAGGCCACTTTCATTATCGCAAAGGAGGAAAGAAAAAGTCAAAAGTGGTTCATATGGAACAGTGGGAGGGAAGGAGCAGGTGGAGAATGTGCTTTAATGTCAGCATGGTTTATTTTGGTTACAGTTAACTAATGGCAAACTCAGTAATAATCAACTCCATTGGAATAAAATTGTATGCACGCAAAATGTCACATTAAAAGGAATAATTACCTGCAGCATGAGCGCGTGGGGTGAGTGAACAAATATGGATGTGTTGTCCTTGGGGGAGGACTCAAGGCAGAGCTGGGCATCGGTGGCGCGAGGGTTGTAAGCGAAGGCGATGCTGGAGGACAACTTGCCATCATACAGTAAGGTCTTATGATGCTCCGCAAACAGCAAGTCACTCTCAGCCTTGTACTTGAATGTGCCCTAAGAAGATGGAGAGGGAGAGACATTCAGTTGTAGAGAACACAACAGTTATACTATTCGCACTACTAGATTCACATTTTTCACAAGTGTCTAGAACAATATTGACTCTGCTGCTAATATAAGGCAGCGTCAAAGTTATCTGCTCAAAACACACGAACAATTCCAATTTTGTTTGTTTACCATTCGGTTTAATTTAACTACCTTTTACATTCGCATTCATAGCACATCCATGAACTGTAACAATCGGCATTTCCGACACAGCGATTAGGGTCACTGGAGATGCAGCACACCCGAGCATGAATGGATAATTATTTTCTACTCTGTCAACCTTTTTTGTTTTGATTTGTATCTTTATTGTTTGTCAGCGGGTGTGTTGACGTGGAGGCCAGTGTGTGGTGGGGTTTTTTTTTATTCTTATATATACACACACATACTCTAAATATAATAAGAAACATATATACACTTCTTGTTTAAACTGCTATGCTTGTGCTTAAGGCTAAAACGGAGCGTCTAATGTCAAGTTTGTTATGACATCTCACTTTGTTGTTGATAGAATCTAACTCAACCAACATCATGGTCTCAAAATCATTTATTGTGAGGTATCATCTGATAGCTAAATCAACAGGGGCGAAGCTTATCTAACCATGCTCATGTTTCCTTTTGGTTTTAAGAATGATACATTTAAAGACATTTAAGATGTCAGTGCGTTACAGAAGTAAACTAAATTATTATAAAGCTTAATTTGCCTAAGTTGTTATACTCTGTTATGTCTCTATTATAAGTTCCCATCAGCAAAAACACGTCGGTTTGCTATCCTGGCTCCAAAATGGTGGAATGAGCTCCCCATTGACATCAGGACAGCAGAAAGCTTACACATCTTCCGGCGCAGACTGAAAACTCATCTCTTTCGACTCCACTTCGAGCAATAAAAATGACTAACAAAGCACTCATATACTAACTAAGCACTTATATACTAACAAAGCACTCATATACTAACGAAGGACTGGCTTATCTAAAGCTAGTTGAGTAGCACTTGAAATGTTTTGGCTCTATGAAACCTGAGGCCTGTACTACGAAGCCGGTTCAACCTAACCTGGATATGTTTGAGTTAGCCGGTTGGCCCAATCCAAAACATACGCGCTCTCGCTAAACGGTCCTACGACGCTGGTTATCAAGTGGATCGCTCAAGCCAGCCGTGTCCTATCTAGTTAGGTGCACGTTCACATGAAAGGGGTGGTATTTGGAGCATTCGACCAATCTCAAACATGGACAAGCGTACTGACAGCGCAGCGTCATACTTCCTGAATGAAAAGTGAACTTTAATATTAGTCAAATATGAAGAAGTTAAACTTTAAACATCCATGACTTAAACACTTTATCCAGGATAAAAGCCACATAGCTGCACCTGCAAGGTGAATACAGCTGGTAAAAGAAAAAGCGTTTGAATGCGTACATTAACAGGTTTATGATATCACTGCCCCGTCCAAGACACGAGTGGATCTGACTTTAATTACATTTGACTCGAGTGTTTCGTCAACTTAATGTGTTGCTTAAAATAATACTTCTGCATACAGTATGTGACACTGTGTCTGTTGCACGGCCAGATACGGCTCAAGAAGCTGATTCAGATAAGGAAATATAGCCTATGATACATTATGATGTGATATGATATGAATGATAATGGCACTCACAGTGCCGCGGACTGTACTTAATGTTACTTTGATCCGGTTACTTATGTTGTGGCAGATATTTAAGTAAGCTTTCTTAACGCTAATGTTATAATAGTCAGATTGCTCTGAAGATGGGAGGTGATATTCTATTCATTTTCACGTTCACACAGTCAGTTGATTTTTGGCGGCCGTCTTTCTGTATTTCCTTTCTCCTGTAATATAACTTGATCGCTTTAAACTCCGCACACTGAGCTCTGATTGGTCAGCAGGCAGTGCTTTCACTGAGTTGATCTCTTAGCCTGCAACCTAACCTGCTCCGGAGCAGGTTAGCCGCTCAGCATAAGTTACCATGGAGATCTAGCCTGCTAAAAAGAGAACCAGCGTCATAGGACCGGAAAGCCCGAGTTTTCCCTGAAGTTAGCCGGCTAAGCGAAAATACAGTACAGGCCTCTGATGTACTTATATGATTCTGTTTTCTTCAAGTTTGTATCTTCTTGGTCGAATGCACTTATTGTAAGTCGCTTTGGATAAAAGCGTCAGCTAAATGTAATGTAATGTAATAAGTATCTATCACACAGCCATCTCAGGGTTAACGCCCACCTGGTACCCCGGCCCCAGCTGATAGATGGCCAGGATCTGAGCAGCGCTGAGAGCCTCTCCAAACAGGTACACTGCTCCCATCTGTCCGCAGAACACACGGTTGACATCTGCCGTCTCTGACGATCCCAGGAAACACTTGTCAAATGTCTGCAGCAGGAAAGAGGTTGGAGGTAGGGTTTTAGGAAGAAAACAAATTGAAATATAAAATGTAAGACGAAGGTAAGGGAGTAAGAAATAAGGAATTGATAGAGGAACAAAGGAATAAAAAGACCAAAAATAGCCTGAATGAACAGAGGGAAAAGGCATATGGCAACACACGCTATAATTGGCAACACACAGACCCAAACTATAAACATACTGTGGCTAACTTGATACTGTTTCATCTTCCTCTGGTCATGGTCAGTGAGGCAGAAGTGTTGAGAACGATGAGGCCATGTCTCAATCAAATTGCTAATTTGCTTTCGGGACATACTGTCACATCAAGAGGATTATACTGCGCTGTGGAGGCGTTTTCATTCCTGACAAAATTTGATTTAAGAATCTCATAGCGCAGCATGACAGAAAGCAATCCTCGGGATTGTGACAGAGTTCATATGGTGATTTGTGAGAGGAGCAGGGTGTGTGCAATATGTGTAGTCAATTTCCGCTGTGCTATCCATACTAATGGATGAAAATAATGGTTTTTACCCCCAGACCCTTCAAAAGCAAAGAGTGAGATTAGATATATCTGCGAGTGGGGTTTATTTTAAAGTTTTTGGTGCACACTCCCGCAGCAATAACTGGTTCTAAAATTGATATTGACAGAAAACTGTTCCATGCGCCCACATGCCCTATACCCTGATGTAGCCGCAGGTGGAATTGTACATAAAAATCTTGCCAGAGGATTCAAGCATTCATATTTTTGATTCACAAGTAACACAGAACACATCCACAGAAATGGGCTGGATAAAGAATTAGTAGGCATTCTTAAATATGTTATTTACTTTCTCGTCATATCTTGAATAAAAACAGTGATACCATTTTTGGGTCTGCATTGAATATATTAAGCAACAGTTAGCAGACATTAGCTCAGCTTAGCATAAAGCCTCAAACAGATGGAAACCGCTAGCCTTGCTCAGTCCAAAAAGTAACAAAATTACTTTTAGTACATTTAAATGTACCAATATAAAACTAAAATGCACGTCGTTGTTTGTTTGAATAGTAAAAACTGAAAACGTTTTTCAAAAAGCACCAAATGTTGGTTTTAAGGGGTAAGTGCAAGACTATTTCTTTGCTTGGTGCAGCATCTTCCACAGTTTCCGCTATTTGTGCTGCTAAGGTAACCGTTTGCAGGCTGTAGCTTAATATTGACCGTGCAATAAGAGTGGAGTGTAGGTAATGAAACACAGACTTAAACCGTTACAAATCCTCCACTGTCTCACATAGCCGTCTACAATTTAAACTATTCGCTTTTTTATGAGAATGTACTGTATACCGATATAAATTTGAAACTTCTGTTGCCCCCTACTGGTTCACTTACAAATAGCGTAAGATATTTTGAATTGTTTTTCACTTACGTCACTGGTGTTGACAAACCAGGCGATGTCTCCAAAGGAAGCCAGTTCCCCGTTCACAAAGCAGCTAATTTCACTGTTTTTCCAGCGGTTGTACACATGAACGAGGGTCACCATGTACCACTGAAAGAAAAACAGAGAGAAGCAGACTCTCACAATGGGAAACTGTTTATCTGGAGTATCAATCACACGACAAGATATCAATAAGTCAGCGTGTGGTGAGAATCTTCTAGCTTACTCAATTAGCCTCCATCATGTTTCAAGACTGTGTCCCCTCAAGCTATGATCCCACCTACTTAGATTTCTGGTTTCCTCCTCAGTCTGACAACCACTGAAATGGGTTACCAGAGTAACCACAGTAAAATAGGTTATTACGTTTTCTTCCGGACATAAAAGAAGACACTAAAAATAGATTGAAAAAATCAACTAAAGTGATTGTTTGGTCCTCATGAGGTTTATTGAGGTAGTGTGATGTCTTTATGCCCAGAGGAAGGAGAAGGATGTTTTAAATTGTCCACAGGCAAAGGATGTTTTGAATGGTTTCCAGAGTATGATGTGCCTGGAAGGGACTCAGGGTATTGGATAATCCTTCTCTACGGTCTCCCTCTTGCCTCCTCCTTCTAGCTTAGCTTCTCCCCAGAGTCAGGTAAGGTGTGACAGTTCCTTCGTGCAGCAAGGTCTAGATTTATTGTGAGCGCACATGTGTGTTTGAGTGTGTGCATGTGATTCATTATGTGGTGCTAACATATGATTTCTGTGATCCATCTACAGAGACATATCCAGGATTTGTCTTTGCATGTGCCTGGGTCACCAAACCAATGCCTGTATTCTGCTTTGCGTTGTTTTTTTCCTACCTTCTGTGGTTTGAAGTCGTACTTTACACAGTGCTGGAACCCTTTCCCCTTGGATTTTAATGAGGTCACTATCAAACAGCCACCCACAAAGTGTGCAGAGTAACCCATGCCTTTATTGGTGCGGAAACTGGAAAAGAAAAATCATGGGAAAAAACAAACACAAAGGGTTAGTTTCCGAGCGAGGCTGCACACTTTCAAGCCGACTGCCTTCAAGGGCAACACGGGTTGTAGTCTCTAATATATCATATAAACACTTTAAAAGGGTCTCAAAAGGATAACGATAGCAAACAATCATTTCTCAACTTCACAGATTCTTCTCATCCTTCTGCATGCCCCGGCGAGATGGGCCCCGGCAGTGTGATTTAGTGAATTAATCTCTCTTTTTTTTTTAAAAGGGCACAAGGCTGAAGGGGAGCTTTTATTACAAATGCTCTCAAGCAGCTCGTTGGCCACTCAAGTCGGTTATCATTTTCACAAGAGTCCAAACAGATCACTGCTGTATAAATTAGATTTTTGACAGAAATTAATTATTGGTTGAAAAGAAGATCAACCAACTCTCCGCTCCACAGACAGGAAGCGAAGGATAATGAGACAGGGAAGATGGAGAGAGAAGTACAAGCGTTTTTCATCTGTGAGGCTGCAGGCTGCTGCAGCATATTTTTGGGAGTGAGTTTATGATACATCTTTTGTTTACTGGTGACATGTGCACATGCATAAGTTCAAACTTAGACACCTTAATTCAAATGAATACACCTGTGGTGAAACATTTCATGTAATTCCTCTCTCTTTGTGTTATTTGAGTTACGTCCTTAAGCAAAGTTCTCATATCTGTATATTTGATATACATACATTAAAAAAAACATTTTAATGCTAAACAAAGGGAATAATGCATCTATTATTCATAGGTTGGCATTGTTACCTACCAGTACAGGTAAGGCTTGTCCTTGTCTACATTGATGTTGTTGAGAGGATCCATGCGGAGCCACGTGTGGAATGTAAAGCCATTCTGGTACGGCCATTTTGCTATAGGAGGCAGAGCTATAGCCTATTAGAGAGACAAATACAAACAGAAAAGAGGACATGGTATGAGTAGTGGAACAGTGATCATTTTCAAATGTACTTAAAAAAAACAGTTGGGTTAGAAGGTTACAATAGGTCAACCAGAAGCCGGGGAAATGAATATCAAAAGGCCACAAAAAGTAATCAAGCAAAGGCCCCTTGAAAAATATTTCTCTAAATAATGTTTTTGTGTGTATGCATGTGTGAAGCAGGGCAACACAGGAAGATGAGGTCTCAGACCCAAACCTGCTTTGCTTTTACACGTAAAAGCACCGTCACCATGGCAATGGAGGGTTATATACAGAAGTTGGCAACCACATACACTATATAAGGGGCCTGACATTGCCTAAGGCAACATTCAATGGTGCACACAATTACATACTGTAGCTTCGTGTACAAAGAACATTTAATGCAATAAAAAGTGCACTACTCTTAGTGTGACAATATGTGTCCTTTACTCCTAAACACAGATTCAGTCTGAAGACATTTACACATTGTTTGTTTTTATATTTTTTTCTGTGTAGCATTGATTTGAAAAGTAGTTCTGATGTATTGAGTCAGAGAGGAAGTTTCAGTGCAGTGATGAGGAAACAAACTGTACCATTAAAACTAGAGAGCAGACACATTTAACTTTTAATACAAATTATTAAACATTGATATTTAAGTGTTTTTTTCTGTAGAAAATGATTCTGTATATTGTATTGTGTTTTGTTCAACAAGTGCAAGGGCTTGTTGTTTACTTAGAATTCATCACAGTGTGCCACTCTCCAACCAAAATAAAGGTTGTTAAAGTAAATACATTATGCTTCTATAGAAGGACAAGGAAAGGACACAGCCTGTTTGTGTGGCCTGATCAACAAAGAACAGCAAGGTTGTGAATGGGATAATATGTAGGGACGGTACAACCCAAATTCTCAGAGCATGATTTGAATAGTCCAAAAGCTAAAAAAAAAAGCCAACAGCCAAAGCATCATGCATTTAAACAGCTCAATCTTTAGATACTTGACATCATTTCAGCAAGAGTACAAAAGTCTTTGAGGCTGTAAAAGGGTCTGAGTTGTAATGGTAGAAAATAACTAAGAGAATCTGTGAAGCTTGTTGAAAAACTGCATGGGTCAGTGAATGGCTGGCTCACAGGAAATCAGCTTAGAAAGCAATTACTATGAAATGATTTAGGAGAACTCATCATGTAATATCAAGTGCTCACTTTTTTTCACACCATCAGTTTATAATAAATGTATGTATATTTTACATTTTGGGAAACAGTCATGGTGAGGCTCCACAATCTGCTGGCATGGCATTTTTTGCAATAATATGAAGCAGGGATTATTGATGCTAATGTATTGAAACATTCAAAAGCGCAGTCCAGCTCATCACCTATGTGCAAACGCACTTTATGGGATGTTTTTATATTCTGTGTTGCATTGTACGGCACTATGAAGTATACTACTCACAGCTGCGTTCTTCCCCGGGAAACTGAAGAATGAGTCAGGGCCGTTCCTGTGAGCCATGTACTTCAGAACTGACAAAAGCTTCACTGCGTGGCGAGGCTGAGGGAAGAAAACACAACGTATTACACCACGGATGGTGTTGATGTCAAAACACACACACACACACACAGGCACATGAAAGCATATGAACCCAAATGACACACTTACTTGTTATGCATGATGCCACAAATGATTAAAGCAGGTACAGCTTTGGTTCTGCTTGTTCTAAATTTACCTCATCAAAGTTTGACAACCAGAGATTTGCTAAGCAGCACATTCTGAATTTAGTATCTCCTTTTACTTCATAATATCCTGATTATTGTGTATGAACTGAAAAGTACATCCATCACAAATATGTTGCTCTAAAGATCCAGATATTGCAGCTTGTTTATTGCGAGTGATAAAAAAAAAATCCTATATATTTTTACGATTTTCAACAGGGTTGTGGTTTATAGAGTGCAATAGCAAAGCACTTTGTAGTTAAAGTTTTGCAATCATCATAACCACCCTGGATATTTCCCAAAGATGAAATGAAGAGAGGAGCGTTGGCAGGAGCGGCTTGAAAGTGAGAGTGAGGTGAAACTTAGGAGAATAAAAGCCCCATTTCCTTGACAATTTGATTACTGTCAGAGATTGATGGGTTACTTTACTTCCATTCATCTGTCTCTCCCTGTGTGCCACGGGTCCTGCCAAGATGTAGTACCTTATCTTCAGTACATGCATCATACATCTTGAGTTCACTGGGGCTATTTCCTTATAGGTGCATGCACACACACACCGACAGAAAACCAAATAGGCAGTCTGTTTTTTGAAAACTTTAAATTTGTGAAAGCCAATTCTTAACATTTTGCGTAATATTGGCAAAAAAAATACACGTTTTTTGGATATACCATGAACAACCGAATATCAGTAATGTAGTGGTGCTCTGGCAGAGTAGTATTCTGGTTTCACATGATTTATCTTGTCCCTGTGACGAGGGCAGTGGCCTGTGGGATGGCAGCAGTTGTAGCTAGCACATTCCTCACGCTGGTCCCAGACAACCAAGACAGATCACCGTGGAATGACTCCGACTCACCCACTGGCCCTTCTCCCCTTGCAGTTTGCTGAAGAAAAGCTTCAGCTCTTTCACTGTGATGCTGTAGCTGGCGAGCACGCCCAACATGTCCACCAGTAGGTCTGCAAAACACACACACACATATTCAGAAAGGGGTTAAACATTATAATTACACAGAAAGACTAAGAAGATACAATCATTTACTTTAGAAGTGAGTATGAGTCCCAAATATATATAATAATTCCTGAGCTGGCACCTGACCTTTATTGGCATTTTCATCATTACAGTGAAGCTGCAGAAGTGAAGCAAAAAAGCTAAGCAGCTCAGACATTAAAAAAAGTAGGGTCAGCAAGACCCAAGTAAAAAAAAAAACATGGATAAAATAGAGAAGGCACTCTGGGAGTCTGCAGCCTCTTTCATTAGTTATTACGGACTAATGACAGGGCATGGTATGACAGATATGAGTAGTGTGCACATACATAAGCCTTGGTTTAAACCTTTGAATATAATGATGAGTGGCACTTTTATCTGGTGGGTCTATTTCCGTGCAAAGTATTAGTACCAGTATATGCACACAAGTATTTCATATTTGCTGTTCAGCTAAGTCTTATGCAACAAACTGATTCAGAGCAGTCCATGGATGTGAGGAGAGAAAGAGACAGTCTGCACATCTACTGCAAGTGCAACATAAAAAGTCAAAGTTCTGGTGCCCTGGTGGTTTTTGAAACTGCAACATTTACAGTTTAAAATCCAGCCGGAAACCTTTGTTGCATGTCATTCTTCATATCTGTCTGCATTTCCTGTCAGCGCTCAACTGTCAACTCCCGGAAAAGTATAGAAAACAAACACAAATATTGAAAAAAAACTGTGTAAAATATGAATAAAAGAGGTTTTTTCATTTTGAAATGTCAATCAATAAAATAAATTGCTTCAGTTCTATGAGACAGTTCTCAGGGAAGGGCAGAGCATTTGTACTGTGGTGGATATTACTACTGTATGATCATTACTTTCAGCTGCCTAGTTACCACTGGGCTGTATCACCCCTGCTTGACTGCACAAACCCTCCAGGCCAGCGCTGTTCTAGCTCGCAAAAGTTCACTGAGCCGAACACTGTAGGATTAATTCTGACTAATTTGCAGATGGGCAACAGACTACACTGGGACTCTGGGGAGTCTGTACAGGAGTAGTGTGTTGTCTGTTTTGACTGCAACACATCTCTGTATATGAACTCATGAAGGACGAAACCATGAGGTTACAATATACGGGAAGAGTGGATAGGAAAGATAGAATTTGTTTCTATATTTCCAAATACGCAATTGTGTCCTGAGGTTGGCGTTCATGTCTTTACTTGTTCTCACTTCACAGAGCTCAAAGCAAAGGGTCTTCAGCTAGACCGTTTGTTCCTGCCTACCGGGACCTGTGGGGTTTGGAGCTGTATAGCCCATACATTTGCTTCATAATAAGGCTTACCCCCCTTGGTCAATTAGTCCACTAATTGGTCATTTTAGGTTCATTTCTCTAGCATATTAGTCTTTATTTTATGATTTCCCATGCTGAATTTCCTAAAAACTATTGAGCTGATCTCTGGTAAACACATGAATTAAAAGGCCACATTTCCATGACTCTTTCTGGGAGTCTGAATAAAATGAACTATCTAAACACTCAGAGAGTCCTTTACCTCCCTGAGCCTCTCAGTCTGACAGGAGAGCTCTCCTCCACCCTGGTTGTAGAAACATCTACTTCTTATATCTGTTAGCGCAGCTAGCACCAGATTCTAATAACAACAGCGCCTGTACCGGTGCGCCCTCTCTCTCTCTCTCTCCCTCGCTCGCTCTCTCGCTCCCACTTTGGCTGTGAGCTGCGGGCGCCTGATAAGCCAACATCCCACACTTTCATCACTTACAGCGCCCATCGTACAGGGCAAATGAAAAGTGTAACCGGGGTGAAAAGGGTGTTACATTTACTTAATTATGAATGTTGTTACATCAAGGCCGAGAATTAGGATCAGCGCCAACGGTCAAAAATGTTTTTTCCCCTCCCAGAGCTACCAGCGCAGCGCCCCCCAGATCTGGCGCCCTCGGCGACCGCCTATGCCAAAAATCGGCCCTGCCTAGTACATACAGTGGCAATGTCTCAAGATTTAGCAAAAATACACCTTTATTGAACATACAGTAACACAAATACTACAAATCCACATAAACAATCAAAAATGAAAAAGGGTCGCCACTTATTATTTTAATTAAAAAAAAAGATTAATTTTTTATTTTTGGGTACCTGGCAGCGGCGTGCATATTTCAGCAGCGGTGCTGCGCCGCCACTATTTGTATATAGGGGAAACACTGATGTGTGCTGGGAATTCATATAATCAGGGACAACCCTTTTAAAGAAATCGCTGCCTTTAACTTTACAAAACAAATTGTATTATTTTATTTATATTGCTGTAACAACACATTACTTTTCGCACAAAGTGCTGTCACTAGGTACCTGCGATCATGCTGTCAGTGGTGGATATGCGATGCAGCACCAGCTGGATGAGCCCCACTTCAGTGCACGCCTGCAGGTTGCGCACGCTCTTCTTGAGGATGGCGGTGAAGATGCTCCAGATCTCTGCCTGACAGGTGGGCTCACACTTGTCCAAAAGCTCCACCATGCACACGATGCTCTCGGGTTCTTGGATGATGAAGTTCATCTCAAGGTCAAACTGGCCTCCCACCAGCTGGAGGAGGGATAGAAGGAGAGAGGGAAGGGAGTAAGGGAGAGAGGGAGAGAGAAAAGAGGGAGACGGGGGAGTTGAGACAAGGTGTTTCAGTCAGTTATTGAGTAAGTCAAACAATAGCAATAATAAACAAAACATAACCACAAGTTTCGAAATAGCCTTTACATGTGTTCACATTACTTTGTGTGTGCACAGCGCTACACAGATCATTAATCATGCATCAGAGCTGCTGCTGGCCAAGTGGATTAAAGGTCAGGGGAGAAACACAGGTCTCTGTCAGTCTGTCGGTCTGTTTGTTTGTCTGACAGCAGATTCAACCGTTTACAACTGCCTTGGGACACCGAGATAAACCCAGAGCCAAAAATATATCAAACAACATCAGTTAAAATAAGTTAGACATCCTCCAGACAGACTCAAACACTGAGAAGTGTATTTGGAGGTTGTTTATTCCTGTAGGAAGCCGTGAAATATTACAGAATCTGACAAAGCAATGCCAAATTAATCTTTAAGAAAATGCATAGTGATAGAATACAGTGACCTGGTCCCTGTATCTGTATTAAAACAGCATCAGTGTGTATACATATTTACACTCAGTAATGTATTTATTGTGTGCAAAGACAACAGAAACACATTTTCTTTTACAGCCAATTACCTTTATACAAGCCTTTATCTTGAATCATAAACACAAATTGTATTCATAAAAGCACATGCATTACACGGTGTAAGTCAGCCTTAGCAGTGACCTCCAGCTGGAGCTTGCTCAGGAGCCGCTGAGCTAAAAGGCTTGTCTTATTGTGAAGGAGTAATGTGCTTTGTGTGTGAAAATAAATTGTATGAACCATAAATGTCATAATTTGTCACTTCTTAATAGTTGCGATGACATTTTTATTATTGAACCCTGCCTAATAGAAAAAGATAAGGAAAATAACAATGTTGGTGCCATATTAATATTGTGGGTAAGGCTGTCGTGTTAAAATCAAGAAGGTGTGACTGGACAGAAAAAAATGAATGTGAGATTGTCGTAGCCGCCCATTAGACGGGCTGGATGTGAAAACAATATGATTTGGTGCAGGGAATGGAAACTGTCCCATTAAAATGAGTGAGGTTGGATAAACTGGGCATGTGTGTTGAGTAGAAGATAGGGAAGGAGGGGAACCCGGGGTATGCTGCTGCCACAACATCCTTGAAGAGGAGTGGATAAAGTGATGAGAACACTGACACACACCTCACCTACTGTCCCCTTTAACCTCCTCTCACAGATATCTGCTCATTTCTTCATGTCAACTACCAACATTAGAACCATATAGATCAATCTTACACAAAGCCTATTTTCTTTATCCTTACGCTTTTGTTTTTTTAAATTAACATGTAACATATTTCATAGTAACAAATAATAAAATCATTACAAATACACAGAATTCAGTCATTGTTGTAGTTTAATGAGATAATTTTTTTAATAATTCTATACATTTTTACATTGAGTTTTGCAATGCCGATGATCTTGAATCTAAATATATTTATTATCTTTCTGGATATGGATTAAAAACCCCACTCTTTCATTAAAGAAGCTGAAAACACAAAATGTTGAGCCTTTTCACTTTGATGAATGACTCAATTTTTTATTCTATTAGCAGGACTGTTGAAAATTAATTTTCCTTCCATTGAGTAATCGTTTGAGCAATAACTACGCGACAGGAAAATCTTCCCCTTAAATTCATTTGTGAGGCTATGAGAGGTCAGCAGGAGAAAAAAGGAACTTTACTATAATTTGAGGTCATTTAAAAGGTTGGGTTGACCAAAAATTAGGGCTGTGCGATTATGGCAAAAATCATAATCACAATTATTTTTGGTCAATAATTGATATCACGATTATTAAAAACGATTATCCATTTACTTTGAAAACATCCATTTATTGAAAAAGTGAACAGTATGTTTTTAACAGTTGATTACCCTGAACTTTAAGTATAATTCAACTGAAAAACTAATAAAATTACATTTTTTTTTTTTTTTTTTTTTTTAAATACAAATAATAATTTTTTTATTTCGATTAAGTTGTTTTCGTAATTGTTGCAAGCCAAAATCGTAATCGAGATTAAAATACGATTAATTGCACAGCCCTACCAAAAATGCCAATGTTTTCGCTCTTCGTCCTACTTCTATCTTTCCATGGAGAGCTTTGCAAAGGTTTGGATGCACGCAGATCTGAGATTGCTGCGACCACCCGAAGTGAGAGAACTTTTTTAATATAGTATTGTGGGTGTTAAAAGCATTCTTTCAAATTATCGCATTGAAAAATATGAATTCTATGAAGACCCCAAACAAAATGTGATTTCAAAATAGCTTGTATTGGGTTAGAGACCAATTATAATATAGATATGGATATTTGAAATCCCATGTAACCAAAACTAACAGCATGGGTGGATCCAACTAGTTTTTTTAGATATTCATTTGGATTAAAGATCTCTTAAATTAAGTCAGAGTTGTGCAAAAAGCCTAAAAAAGGAACATATACTGTATCAAGATGTATATAGTGCAGACTTAGTTAATGGTATAGTAACAGATAGATAGATAGATAGATGGATAGATGGGCAAACCAATACCAAGTCATCTTTTGACGGAAAATTACTAAATTAAAAACTAAGTGAATTTAGTCTAAATGTCCACCAGACAATTGTTAGGACAAGCCAGGGTTAAAGTAATAACACATGCACCAGTGAATGCCCCCCTGGTAACTTGACTTCTTCCCTTTTTTGTCTCTCAGCAAGTCATTGATAAATCACACTGTGCCATGTATTAACTTTGGGGATAGATTGCAGCCAGGTCTGCCATTAGTGGAGGCCGGGTGCCATTTTGCCACAGTAACTGTTGATTTATGAGCCTGACACTGTGTACGAGTCATCCATCCATCAAAGTCCGTTGACCAAGGAGACAAGAGCGCATATATGGATGGAGACAGAGTGGCACAGCGCAATGACAGACACCTGGCACACTCACAGAGACAGGGCTGAGATTGGACCTTGTTTGTCATTCTCTGCAATCAGAAGTTAAGGACAAATTAAACTATGATCTAGCCATATTATCTCACAGTGGGTGGTACTGTTTGAAGAGATTCACCAGCAATGTCTAGACTGACAAAATAAACTAACATTTACAGGAACTTGTGATGTGCAATTGTCATTATCTTATAGAATTCAAAAGATAACAAAAAGATTGATCGTTGAACAGATTTGTTCAAAGTTATCATTAAAGACTCAAAATTCTTCAGTGTTAGGCGAAAAATCATCCGTGCAATTTAGACTTAATGTGTCAAAGCCAGAGGTCAATGAGAATCTGACACGTTATGTCTGTGGACATAAAAAAAGAACTGGTACTTTCAAATGTACCTTATCTAAAAGGCCCAGACACACCAAACTGACACCAAAGAACACGTCCTGACGGAACACGACTGTTGTGTCGCCTCACGTCTCCTGCGTCTTGGCCAACAGTCGCACTGGAACGCACCGCAAAGACTTCAGCCGACGGCCAAGTAGCACGTACGAACTGCGCATGCGTGAGTGGCAATAACTCTCCTTACCAGCAGGCGGCGGTAGTGTGTATTCGTCATTCAAAAGAGGCAACAACCGGAAGACAGACTGCGTGATACACCGAGAGAAGAAGAACAGACTGCGTGATATAAACAAACAACAAATAGCGTGTGCGTTCCATTTCGGTTTCTTCATTCCAGATCGCCATGATGAAAAATAAACTCTTGCGTCCAGGTGAGATGAAAATGAAAAAGAATAGCCGTCTGTGTGTGCCTTCTTAATCGTTTGTTTGGGTCCCTCACTTCCGTTTCGCTTCTCATGCACTGATTCGCTAAGCTTAACAGCCAATCAGAGTGATTTATTTTGCCGACGGCCTTGTACCGACAAGCCTACCGATTCAACATGTCGAATCGGCGGCGGAAGGTGTCGACACGGCCGAAAAGACACGACGGTGCAGGACACACCAATCTGAGTAGGGCGACAGGACGCTCATCGACGGCCAGACATCTAGCGACGGCTGAAATCGGCCCGGTGTGTCTGGGCCTTTAGGCAGCACTCTGCTCCAAACCTGGAAACTATGTGTTGTTTACGTGTGATGTTGGTGCGAAACATCACAACGTCAAGGTTGTAACTGGGTATAACAAAGAGCAATATACAATAAGAATACTTTATATTACAAAAAGACTAAATGATGCTGCCATTAATCGGCTGTAATACTTTGAACCATGATGCAAATTGAAAACAAAGTGCATTTTCCTATAGCTAAGTGAGAACATCTAATGTGTCTATTGGTGCATGGCAAAGAGGTTTACAACCTTTCAATTTCTTTGATTGTTCAGTTCAATCATGTACATTGCTCTATTTTAGGAACAGCTGTGAACGGTAGCTAGCTCTACCCTCTTGTAGAGCCAAGCAGAGCTCTGTGGTAAAAAGCTGTCTTTATGGCAGACACCAGATCCCTGGCGCAGTAACCTAGCCTGGCTGCTCTCCCCCAAGGCCAGCCTGAATTAATCATGGCTGAATAGCCAAGCAGCCACTGGGCCGTAACACAAAGCACAAACAGGCTTCTATGGTCTCCATGGAAAACAACATTGGAGGATCACAGGGGTTGATGATACGCCAGAACCGGGATTCATATCTGTGGCCTGAGCTGAACCTGTGCGTCGGGTACCAATGACGGTGTGAGGATTCTTGGAAATCTGAGATATGAAACCCAGTGTCAACAATGACAATGTGTGACTTGATGTTAATTTATTTACCACATACAAACAACACAGCCATGTTTACAGGCTGCATAAAAGAGGTTGGGGAAATGCAAAATGGAACTTTGATGGAAAATTGGTGTCCTAACTAATGTTCCTATCTGTCATTTTTTTTCAGATTGCAAAGAAAAAGTTGCCAAAAAACTTGAATGTAGTGGGGATGCAAATCATTTGTGGAAATATCTATAAACAAATATTAAAAAATGCTTTTAGC